ATTACCAACGCGTGGTGCGTTGTAAGAAAATTATGACGATAAAAAAAAGGAAAAAAAAAAAAAAAAGAAGAATCCAGATGGCCGTCGTTAATGTCGTGGTGAATAAAAACGGGAAACGCATTACGAACTGCTTTCGTTTATTTATTTTTCGAGTCTGCGTGTTTGAGCGTGTCTTGCTGAGTTGCCAGCGGCGGAACACGCCTAGTTTTCGCACTACGGCTGATCTTCGTGGCTATCTTCTGATAGCAATTTCAATTCTAACCTTTCTTCGTACTTTTTTTTTTTCTGCAGATCTTTTTTTTTTTTTTTTTTTTTTTTGCGTTGTTTGGATGAGATTGAGCCATATTTCGTCACGGTCGTTACAGAGCCAGCTATCGCTGTGAATTATTTCTTTTGTGCAACGCATCTCTCCGACGCGTTGAGAACGGCACGCAACGCAGAATCGTTAACTTCGGGACTGCTTTCATCACATTTCGTAGAGTCTCAGTCATTTGTTTTGTTTTCTTGAAAAAATAAAGATTGAAGAAAGAGTAAGTATATACAAACAAGCTGCTTAAAAGAAAAAAAAAAAAGTGGAGACGACGGACGAGGATGGGCACAAACAGAAAACGTCGCAATAAAGAAAGACAGGCGAGGTAAGTGATGTTACGCGAAAAAAAAAAAATAAATAAATAAATAAAGAAAAAAAAATAACAGAGACGACGGACGAAGAGATACACAAAACGTCTCAAATCGTCGTCTCCGGTTTTTAGAGACGTTTTGCGTTTGTCGTCTTCATCCGTCGTCTCCGGTTTTTTCAAACGCTGTGGCTAGCGTTACATCCGGACGGAGCACTGAAACGCGTAACCCTCCCCCCCCGCCCTCCTCTCTCTCCCCCGTGAACCTAGGGAAGGCGGAGATTTGGACGTAACTTGGGGTTACGCAGGCGGCTTTGGTCGGATGTAACGCTAGACACTTCGTTGTTCAAAACTGTGTAAAAAAGTAAGTTTCCTCATTGTTTATACGCTGCCCGAAGTAGTTCTTACAAGATTTGGTTGTCGGAGGCAGAGGCGATGCTTTTAGCGTTTGAAACGTGTAATTAGTAATTAGTATTGCTCCACGAGGAGTCGGACTTTTTTTTTTTTAACTGCGTCGTAATCGGATTATGACGTGCCCCAGCACACCCCAAACAAGGCTCGTGTTTCCTTATTATCGCTTAATCCACTACTTTCCCGTCTCTGTTTTTGTACTTACGCGAGGCTTGTTTCTCCTTATTATCCCTTAATCCACTTTGTACTACCCGAGGCTTGTTTCCTTATTTCCACTCCCTCGCCCCCTCCCCATGCTCTCCCGTCAGCTTCTTGAGCTTGCTCAAAGCTCTCTTCCTCTTTACGTCCATCATTTTTTCTGTCTCCTCCTCTCACTTTTTCCCCTTCACTTTCTTTGTCATGCACTTCCGAGCACTTCATTGCTCTCAGACTTCTCCAGATAGCAAGCAGAACGGCAGGGGCGTCGGGAGCAGTGATTTCCGTGCACACCTCTTGGGGGGGTTGTATCCCCCCCTTGTTTCTAATATCACCCCCTCAATTTGCAACGACTGCCCCCGCCCCTTACAAGTTTACTAGAAATGTCTAAAATATCTAGAAAAACCCGATGCCCCCCCCCCCCCCCCCTCTCCGCTTTTTCCGAAAAAAAAAAAAAAAAGAACAAAAAAACTTATTTGCTGCCGATGCACACTTTAGCGCTTCTACCCTGTTTCCCGTGTATGAAATCACGGCGCTCTATTTCATCCTCTCACCCAACGGCTTATTGTGCCAGAGGTGCTGAAGCATTTTCGCAGTTCCAGCTGGTGCTTCATTGTGCAAACTATGATTTTTTTTTTTTTTTACATTACCGCAATATTACTTCCTGATGCGAATAGCGTATGGATCACCGTACCATTTTATACAACAATGAATTTATTTATTTACCTTTTTTACTCCTCATATTGTGTGATCTGTGGTCTGTACGTTTAAAATAGTCTCCTCTCTCTCAATGTACCTGTTTGGTTCGTTTTCTGAAATTGCTTGGGAATCGCCTGCTGTAAAGGGGGCCAGGACCTCCGTCAAGCTGCTACGGCAGCTTTTTGTGTGGATCCCCCGTTTCAGTGATGAGACAAAATAAAGATTTATTATTATTGTTCTAATGACAGGCACGCGGGACAAAAAATGAACTTTACACCTCCCACGATTCACAATGTCTCCAAGATATTTCTGTAAAAAAAATCGACACTGCTTTGCAAAACGAAAGAATATATATATATATATATATATATATATATATATATATATATATATATATATATATATATATATATATATATATATATATATATATATATATATATATATATATACTGGGTGTTTGTGCGAAGACTTTCAAAAATCCTAAAACTTAAAGCGTAAAAAAAAAGAAATTCGGGAACAAACTACCAGCCACGGCGGACGTCAGGAATTGCCAAAAACATAGTAATTAGCCAAATAATTAATTAAAATTTGTTAATTAACTTTTTAATTAGTGGAAATGGACATATGGTTCTAATTAGAAAGTTGCTGAGCGTTATCGAAAACCACTAAATCAGTCACTTTCAAAAAGAATTTCGGCGCGTGAGAAGCGTAGTAGTGCACTAAAGTTACCGCTCTTTGAGCAGGTACAAGGCTGGGGCTAGATAAGAGACGGAAAAATCGCGCGGGCGCCTTATCGCAACCGCTAGCTTTGTACCTGCTCAAAGAGCGGTAACTTTAGTGCGCTACTACGCTTCTCACGCGCCGAAATTCTTTTTGAAAGTGACTGATTTAGTGGTTTTCGATAACGCTCAGCAACTTTCTAATTAGAACCATATGTCTATTTCCACTAATTAAAAAGTTAATTAACAAATTTTAATTAATTATTTGGCTAATTACTATGTTTTTGGCAATTCCTGACGTCCGCCGTGGCTGGTAGTTTGTTCCCGAAGAAAGTTTTTTCTTTTTTTTTTACGCTTTAAGTTTTAGGATTTTTGAAAGTCTTCGCACAAACACCCGGTATATATATATCAGGGTGTCGAACCGGAACCGAACCGGACCGGAACCGAACCGGTATTTTTTCCGGAACTGAACCCGCACCCGAACCGTTCTATTGTTATCGCGATGAACCCGAACCGGAACTGAACCGGAAAAAAAATAACGGTTACCGGCTCATGTCAAAACGGTTCGGCCACGCGCTGTTGACAATGCATGTGCTATAATGCCATTTGTTTTTTAAACTGACACACACCTCGCTTACATATATTTGTTCTCCACTCAGTCTTAGGAATATAAACGCTGCATCCATGAATCTTGACAAACGCTGCATCCATGAATCTTGACATAGGAACCAGTATTGCGCTGGTCGCGGCTTCCACGGAAGAAAAAGAATTGGAAAGCTGTGCAAAAAAAAAAAAAAAAAAAAAAAAAAAAAAATTGCGTTACGGGATTTCATTTTTCTACATTCTCGTAAATCCTAAATGCTGCTGTGTGCTCATTTCATAACACGTTTCTAGAACGCGCGAGTTCTTGAAGCTTGCTTCCATCGGAATGAGAAAAGAAATGGCTGTGGAGTTTGATAATAATGCATCCGGTTTCGTATAGGCACTTAGAAGCTAACATATTTGTGAGACAGCGAACTCTTCTATTTTAATATATATCCTATTACGTCCTTCTGGCGTTGCGTTCGGTGAAGTGTTTTTCATATTCCGTATCTTGTTTAATGAAAACTTCTTTAAGGGTCTAATTTGAGTTACCGAAGGCTAGTTCAAATAAAGAAAGCTCTATTTTCTCTCCACTGTTCCTTCAATTGCTTACACGCCGAGGTGGCGGGATAGTTAGCGAGTTCTACTTGTAAGTGGGTTTGTAAGGAGGTCGCGGATTTTACAGCTACTGCGTCGGACCCAATTAAATGAAGTCCAAATGCGTAAACGTCGGTGCGGTAACCTTTGAGTGCACATAAAGAAACCATTCCTGGTAGAAATCCCTGAGCCTTACACTACGATGTATCCCGTTTCGTATGTGCTGATTTCAGATGTTTTATTTGTAATTTTTTGATGTTGCAATTCGTCATTTATAATTTCCGAACCGGTTCGCGGATCAAATTAATCGAACCGGAACTGAACTGGAACAAAATAAATTTACCTGAACCTGAACCTGAACCGTAACCGAACCCGTATTTTTTTCGATTCGACACACTGATATATATATATATATATATATATATATATATATATATATATATATATATATATATATATATATATATATATATATATATATATATATTGGCATAGTTCAGATGAAGGACCGCGTGCATTATCATACAACTCTCTCCATTTCTTTATGTTTGCTTGGCGCACAAATGATGACACAAAACTACGCGAATAATTTAATAATTTACACCCACACAGACAGCAGAAGAAGACGCGGGGCTGCAAAACATCACCCAGACGTTGCGTCCTACGAGCGATAGAAATGCAGGGCGTCGCGCGCCGGACCCCACCGGACGCAGTGCAACGCATCCATCGTCGGCTGGGAGGTTCCCGTTAGTGGCCCCCGCGGTCTGTACGGCGACATCGCAAATATTTATGGAGCCACGGGCAAAACGGAACGCACCACATCCGCGTTTCTTCGGCGAACCACGCCCGCACGCACTTTTTTTTCCCCTCCCTCTCATTTTTGTTTTGCGCTTTTATGCCTGCCTATCAAACGGCCCGTCAAAGTGCGAGCGCTTCGGCTATCGCAGGCTCCCATCGCGCCATTAAAAGAACTAAGACGACTGCGGTGCCGCGACGTTTTCGCCAATACGCGCGCCTTTTGGGCGACCGCACAAAATCGCTTTCTTTTGTTTGCGCGAAGTCGTACAACAATAAACACGCAGAGAGTGCCCAAAGTTTGGATGCGAGCACGAGTCAATGGCCTATTCAAGCGATGCGCGGTCTGGGGCGGTGACGTCATACCGCCGAACCGAAAAGTAGTTCTCAGTTTCCGAGAGGCCATTTACGACCGCTGGAGGTTGATTCTTGCTATTTTTCGGGACGAAAACGCAAGTTAAGTATTTAACACGCCTCATTATTAAATATTGAGGACACTGGGGGTAAACCTGACGCGAATTCTTGGCTCGCGGAGTGATACAAAAGCCCGGTTTCTGCAGGTACGCGGTGGCGGCGCGTCTGTGGACACATGCGTCAAGTGCCTTGGCGTTTGTGTATGTGTTGCCGGTTTGGTTCGAGTGCTGGAAAGGGTGTTTCTTCGTAGGATGTTTACACTTTAGAGCACGTTCACTGTGAGTACTCCACCGCTGCTTTATTGACCTCCTAGACGCGAGTTGAGCTCGCCCGGGTCCTGGCCGGGCCCGGCCGCTCCCGTGCGCGAGTTGTCACGTAAACATAAATGTCGCTTGGAGCGACGTTAAGCCTAACCCATAAAAACCGGCTTTGCTGCAGGTGTAAGCGAGCTGACCGCGCCTCCCGTGCAGGCTCGGACCCTGCTTTAACCCTTGCCGTGTTCGAACTTTCCTCTTTTCTTCGAAACCACGTTTTTGTGCTTCGTGCTCGTCGGTTTTGCTGGGTCCGGTTGCCGTGCCGAATTCTGCGGCCCCTGGCTGTCTGTCAGTTAGGTTGAAAACAAAAAGAAAAGCATCGAGAGACTGGTTTGTCAGAGAGGCGATGTCAACGCCCAACCCGGGAGCGAAAACGTGAAAAAACCCAAATATGCAAAACCATGGGTTTCTCGTCGAAAAATTTGAAATTTCTGACAGGAGACTCACTATTACTCGCTGGAAATAGGAGAGTCTGTTTTTTGAGATGTGCAGAACCGTTTTTGTGGCGGGGATTCTGTCGAAGCCGGATATCAGGTTGTGGCCGTGTAGGTGTGGGGGTCTGCGTGTTTCGCTTGCCTACCTGTTTCGTGTTCTTTTTGTTGTTTCCTTTTTTTTTTCTTTTTCTTCTTCACCTTTCTCGATAAGCTCGAATTTTTTGCTCGCGATTGTGCGCGTTCTTTATTTTTTCTCTTTTGGGTGTGCCGCCGTGGTCGCTTCGAGGCACAAAATTGCCGTGGCAGCGCGCTAACGAGGTTTACAAAACTTTCGCTCAAAGTTCAAAAGAAGTGCTGGAGGGTGGTGTATGTGTGCGTGTTCGTATGTGCAAGTCCGAGCAAATTGCACCTTTTAAAATTTTTCTTTTTTAGTACTGCGGCGCGTTTGAGTACGCAAGCGCGAACGCACGAGTGTTTGTCGCCGTTTCTGTCTCCGTTATCGTGAGGGCACTTGGAAAGCGGTATTTTTAAGCTCCAGCGTTCTAATCGCCGACCCGAGGAGCAAGGCACAAGGCTGAAAGGGCTTTTGAAAGGGTGAATTCGTTCGCCGCGGTTGAGGCATGGGACGCCGCGCCGCCTTTGAATTGCAGTGCCAGCCGTCAAGTCTCTTCCGACGACTCCAAAGTTCGTTCGCACGCGTCTTTTCAAGGCCATTCCAACGCTCACAAAAAAAAAAAAAAAACATGCAAGAAAGTTTTAGGTTTTCTTCCCACAAATACCCCCCCCCCCCCCCCCCCCCAAAAAAAAAAAAAAAAAAAGGAAAGTAGACATTATTAAAAAAAAAATTGAGAAAGAAAGCAGGGAGTAATATTTTGTAGAGGTATCGTTATCTGTTTAGCCTCGAACCGCGGCCGGAGACCAAAATAAACGTACGGAGGGAGGTTATCTCGTGAAGTGTACACTCGAGGTGTCTGGCTACCTTGGATACGTTGCTTTTTTTGTTTGTTTGTTTTCGTTTTGTCTTCACCTGTCAATGGTGGCAACAGGTGCGACAGGTGAGGGTGCTTTAGGAGTGATAGTGAAGTAGTGATCTCATGGGTGACATATTGAAGGCGTGTCTCTCGATACGTCACTTTTTTGTTCTTTTGTTTGTTTTTGTTTTGTCTTCACCTATCAATTGTGGCAACAGGTGCGACAAGGGAGGGTGCTTTCGGAGTGATAGTGTAGTACTGATCTCTTCGGATGACATATTGAAGGCGTGTCTCGCGTGCTGCAGGTTCTCCAGATAGTGAAGATGTTCAAGTTCATTGCCAAGAAGTCCCAGCACGTCAGTGCTGAACGCCTCAAGGTTCAGAAGGAGCTCTTCGCTTTCAACAAGGTAACTTTCCTTTGCTTGCTTTGCTCTTATTGGATGTTATTGTTGCGACGGAGCTGTCCGTCTGTTTCTCTCGGCTCGATGCAAAGAAAGGGCAGCAGTCGTCATTTTAATGTGGAACAGATGCATTCTCTGGCTCTACATTTGCAATAGGCTGCTTCGAAAAATCTCTGCACGCAACACTGTGCACCTTCCATTCTGGGACCTATTTGGCCGTGAAAGGAGTGGCATGGCTTCGGTTTCGATAGCCTCATTTCGTGCAGTGCATCTTAGCACTGCATAAAAATAAAGGTGGCGCTCGCTTGCATTGCACCTATTCATCTTCGTGAGAGCCCCCTTTAAAACACAGACCTCTAGCAGCCATAAGAACTTGCCTAGGCTTAGCGGGGTGTAGGAGTACAACCGGACGCGTCCCATACCTTTGCTGCACTCCAGAGTGCAGCAGCACCTTTCCGGCTCGTGGATTGGCCTAGGACATTGAGGAGACGACTCAACAGGATGACCGGCCCTGTATACTTCTTTCACGTGCTATCATAGTCCTGTGCTTACACGCACACAAACTCTGGCATGTTTGGAGCCACAAAAATGTGCCCCAGCATTCTATCCTTATTGGTAGGCAACATCTACAGTACCATAAATTTAAGGAAAGCCATTTATTCGAAAATGTAAGCACTGTATTTGGTCTTGACGGGATGTCATGAAGTGAGGTTGGCAAATTCAACACCGAAACTTAGTGACCAATGGGTTCCCGAAATGCTTTTCTAGGCACTACACCGCTAGGATTGCTTCGATTTTGCAAGAGGTCTTTTGGGTGCTGAACTATACATTGTACCCCCCCCCCCCCCTTCTTAAGCTTAGAGTGCTGTGGGAGCTATGCGCTCGCCGGACCTATCAACCACAACCCTTTCGTCACTTGTCTCTGCTCTTAGGGTGGTACGAGAGAGGAGTGGGTTCACTTGGCGAAAGATAGACGCATGACTGACCTAACAGGCACGTAGCTCCTTCCAAACAGCTTGGAGGTGAACGGAGTATACAGAGTGTACCAAAAGTTAAGGGCTGTCTGCACCCCCTTTGTTGCAGAAAGCTTCGTGCTAAGATTGGAGTGAGAGTCGCAACCAGCTGCGAAGCTCCTGGGTGACTTTTTGTATCTGTGCAGCGATAAATATCAAACTTGTTATTTTTTTATTTTTTTCTTCACTGATAAGATGGCCTGTCAAGGGCTTTGAAATGTTCTGTATCTTCCGACTTCACATTGCCTGGTGGCGACTAGATGTTTTTATTGCTTTGCTCGGGAACCTGGTGGAACTGACTGTAAATATTTCAAATCGGCTTTTCTTTCTGCAGCTGCATTTGTTTATTAGCATTTTTGTTTTGTACAATTTTATGAAGGTCATTTTTGGTTAGCTCCAGGTGTGTCGAAAATGAAGTGTGTAGACTGTTCTGGCTTCCTCAGTTTACTTACAAAATAGGACTGGAGAGGGGAGTTGCAAAATAATGCTTTGATTTCAGCGTCAGGTTGTGGCTGTTCTTTCCAGATTGAATTAGAGAGCAGAATTTTTTCCAAAGGAAAGCAGTAAAAAGTATCTCCTCACACTTGTTCAACTTCTTTTTCTGGCTGCAGTACTTTTTCTAATGTAACCTAATTAAAAAAAAAAAAAAAAAAAGGTTTTGGAACAGTTATTTTGGGTTGATCCCGCTCTTGCCTGTTGGCACGTGGTCGTTGGTCAGCCAACGGTGCAATGTGCTTGCTGCCTGCTACTCATCCATTTGGCTGGCAGCAGCATCTCTCGGGCTCGTTTCGCAAAAACCCACTCCTGAATTCTTAATTGCCGCGTCACGGCGTAACCAGATTTTCCGGTACAAGGTTGCGAGGAGAGGTCTCCTCGAGTCCTCCTCTTGGAGGTCACGGGTAGACGCCGGGAGGAAGGGGTGGGGGCGAGGTCTGTGAAAAGGGGGCAAGGGCAGCTCCCTCCCCAGCCAGCTCCCCTCTCCCCCCTCCCTGGTCTGTCCCTTGCTGCCAAAGCGTGGTGTGGTGGGCAGCGGGAGAAACGGCTTATCGAGAGAAACGGTGGGGCAGCAGTTGTGATAGAGGGAAGGCTATTAAGGGGCAGTTTTTACGATGTCCGCCGTAAGATCTCCTTCTCTCCCCTTGATAGGTGTCTGTGGTCCCGCGTGTTTTTCTTTTTCCTTTGTCTGTTTAGCATTTTGTGGCAAAAGGTGTGAAAGCTGTTGTGTGTAGAGGGAAGGTAAAAAAAAAAGTAAAGGAGCCTTTTTTTTTTTTTGTTAAGGATTGTTCATTTTGAAGAAGGGAATTACCTTTGTGCTCGATGTTTAGGTGGGAGTGTCTGGGTAGTCTCGTCTATCTCTGGTTCTTGGGTGTTTCTTATGTGTGTTATGTCCGAGGCGTGACCTTGCTGGTTGCTTTCTCCTCGCTGCATGCTGCTGGGACATTCTAGATGCCCAGTCTCTCTGTTAAAATGTTTGCCTCTTCGTTGCTTAACTGTCGCCACTAAGAGATGGCGAGATTTTGCTAGCTCTATAATGCACGCCTCTTCCGAAGCAATTTTATGCGCCGTCAGATTTGGAAATCGGTAGTTGCTGTAGAAAACTATCCACAGGTGTGGTAACAGTCGAAAGATTGTCAGAACTTGCAGCCATTTAAAAGACTGTCGGACCAGTCAGATTTTCATTGCTCTTTTAGAGCACAGCTCTTAAGTGCCCGTTTCCAGGTCTCGCGGCCGTCTGCGTCGGCACAACCGCACTTACGTTTAGCGGCAAAATTGGCGTCGTGGGACCTCAACACCAGTTCAATTCCTTGCTATACTTAGTGGGGAAAATAATGTCACATGACTTGGTGTTACCTGTGAACAAATTCAGTTTCTCTGCTAGATTTAGGGAATATCGACGTCACACGACCTCAACTGCAAATCAGTTTCCTGCTAACTTTAGCGGGAAAATTGACATCACATGATAGCTGCCTCGGTGGCTCCGAGGCGAGAGCGCCGGCCTACGGATCCCCAGGTGGCTGGTTCGAATCCCGACCGAGGTGCACGCAATCTGACGGAGGCTTATTGTGGAGAAGGCGCCGTGGTAACCGAGCTTTCGGTTGCACGTCAAAAGATCCCCAGGTGGTCGAAATTAATCCTCAATCCTCCACTGGGGCGTGCCAGATGCCCGTTGTAGGTTTGGCACATAAAACCCCCAAATTTTTTTTTTGACATCACATGATCTCGACACCAAGTCAGTTCCCCGCTAAATTTGGTGGGAAAATTGACGTCACGTGACCTAACACTAATTCAGTTTCCCCGCTAAATTTAGCGGGGAAAATGACGTCACATGACTTGGTGTCACGTCACCTATGAACAAATTCAGTTTCTCTGCTAGATTTAGTGCGAAAATTGTTGTCACGTGTGGAGGGGTGAAGGGGGAGTTACGGAGGAGGGGAAGAGGAAAAAAGAAGGGGAAGAGGAGGGGCACCCCTCCCTTTCATACCCTCTCCTCCTCCTCAAAAGCCGCACTCTAACTTTATATTACAGAGATTTGTGAACGTCTAATTTTTTTTCATTCATTACATTGGATGTGCAAAATGAGGCAACCATTTGTGAAGATGTGAAGCTGCCTTGGAGCGGAGGAAGGTGGGGCATTAATCTTGACGCTTGGTTTTCAATTCTCTGAGTAGCACATATTGTTCTTTTTGTGCATGTAAAGAGTTTGCGTACTTACAGTCCTGAATGTGCTTTTATAAGCATGCCTTTGGTACATTTCACGAAGTTGCCAGCAGCTTTATTTCTGAACACAGCATCTCACACGTGTAAAACGCACTGTCACCGCCTCTCACCTTTCGTTCGACCGTTCTTCGTCGCGACGCGGCACTCCGTTTTATTATGCACATTGAGTAAGGTGCAGCCAGGGTCTCGCGGCATTTAAATATTTTTGCAAAACAAAACGGCTAATGCTACTGTACAGACAAAGCCGTAGATCGAGTAGTCGGGAGCACATCTATTCTTTCTAGAAAACCTTCAAAAGGAAGTCCGCCCCTAATATTGATGCACGCTCGTCGATCATCCCCCTTCGTTCCTCTAGCCCGACGTCACTCCGGGGGGACGCTCTAACACCGCCAAAAGGGCAGGCGCAGGGAGATGAAGCCGGACCTTTCCAGCCCTCGTCACACTTGTCATACGTCACACAAAAGAAACGGTGTTTGTTGCAGATGTGACGGCAGAATTGTGTGCAGACACCTCGGGCATGTTCGGAGAATGCTTGCTTCCCACACACGTGTGCTTCGACCACGTCTGCAGACTGCAGACGTGTGCTTTGACCTTGTCTGCTTTTGTACGTACAATGCACCTCAGACAGTATCCGCAGACTGCCTTTTGTACGGTGCATTAGTAGCGTGTCTGCGGCCCTAGGGTCATAATGACGTTTGACACCAAGCTCTCGCCGGCAGACTTGGATGCGCCCATTGTCGCATTGCGTGCGAAGAACAAGGGCAGTCAGGCACCTGCCCCAGAAACTCCCCGCAGAGCTCGTTTGCGTCTTTCGCTTGCCCGGGGTTTCTGCAGCCGTGGCCTTGGCGGGTCGTCGCAGCTGCTCGCGGAACCCGCGGCGCGAGCCAGGAGCGCAGCTGGCTGCGACGTGACGGGGACGCACGCTCGCTCGGAAGCCTCGGGCTGATTGAGGGTTGGGGGGGGGGGGGTGTTACGCTCTACCTGGCTTTGAAGATAAACCCTTTTGGCTAAATGCGGACACACTTTTGCTAGTTGGTTGGCAGGATATGCCGCCTGGGGCTCGGGTGTTTTTGCATCAATTTATTCATTGCCAATGTTCGGCGGAGCAGTGGGTGGGAGGGGAATGACTGGAAAACCTCTTGATCCTCGGCCCAGGTTACTACTGCAAAATTGTGCAAACAAACCTCATAAAAAAAAAAAAAAAAAAAAAAAAAAAAAAAAGAAATTAGACAAATATTACAGGAACAGTTCCATTTGTGTCTAATCCCCAAGTCCCACTAGAGCGGCAAACAGAAACAACCGACAGCGGCAAGCCTCAAACCAGTCTTTTGCGATTTGACATGCTTTGTAGAATAAAGGAGGCTACGCTCAACCACGAGCATCATACGCGCGAGTCAATTTTTGGCAGGCGTGCAATCACTCAAGCTCACTTCACGAGCACCGACCGACTTAATACCTGCCAGAGGTACCATCGCGAGCATGCTGCATGTGTTTGAGGCTTGTCGCTGTCGTTTGTTTCTGTTTGTCGCTCTAGTGGGACTCGGGCATAATGCTTTCAAACAGAAACACTTGTGTTGCGAGATATAGAAAAGGCGAGAATAAAAATTGGATAAAAACAGCATCACGAAGTAAGGACGCGCTACGAGCTGTGTACTGTTGTGTAGTGAAATAAATGTAAGCGCGAGAGGCATTTCAAGGTGTGACGGCAGTAGTTGCTTAATTCTTGGACCAAATATTTCGTTGAGGCGTTTAGAAACGGTGTTGATCCGATTCGCAGTTTGATGGAGTCGAATCGATTGCTGGGTTCATTTTTTTTTATAGGTTTGCAAACCTCTGTAGGCTGTTGTTTTCTGTTTGTTTCCAGTGGATATCTAGTGAGCTCCAGACCTTGTGTTGCAATCAGTTTTAGCAAAAGGTAGTGCAGTGCTAGATTGTTTTTTGTGTGAGATACAAAGTTTTTGTACAATTTTACATGACTTTTCGAGTCCCTTGACTTTTTGAGGCCCTACTTTTTATCCATCGATTTGAAATCAGCAATGGATACCATATTTTCCGATGTGTCAGTTGTGTTTTTTTTTTTTTTTCCAAAATTTGCGTAGCTGCATTTTATACAATGGTGTGACATGTTTTTTTTTTCCATCAACATGGTTTTTAACTAAGCAAATTTGCTGCGGGGTTATGTTTTCCGTTTGATTTATTGGTAAGGATATTGAAACTGGTTCCCGCTTGCGCATATTGGGATTACAATACGGATATGTGGACTTACCAATGCAGTTTCGCGAATTTCAGCTTTTAGAAGTCGCAAAATTTAATGGTTGCAAATGTGACTTCGCTGATGCTGTAGTGATCTGTATCAAAGGACGTATTAAGGAGAATTATTTGCTTTCAATACAATCTGGTAATTAATTTTGAGTAATGAAATTGTTATTATTGATCTTAAAGGGATGGTTTTAATTAGAACCTTGGTGGGCATCATCGAAAACCACTAAATTCACCCACGTTACAATGATATAACATGGCATTTTACAGCGTTGAGAACAAATGCTCAATTTAGACGCGTTTCGGGGTTTCTTATTGGAACACAACTCTGTGCAGGCAATCCCGCCCCGTGTCTAAAATATGAAACAAGCGTGCATCCTCACACATTGCACGTAAAGGTGTGTCTTCACACTGGCATCAACGTCACAAAGGCAAACCTCATCTGACAGTCTGGAGGCTTTCTTTTCTAGCCTCTTCCATCCGCGATGCGTGGTGGCGCACACAGATTGTACGTTTTAAACACAGGAGGGATTGCCCGTCTTCGGTTCCTATAAGAAACCGAAACCGACAAACTGGTCCAAATTGAGCATTTTTTTGGAACGCCGTGAATTTGCATGTGCCTTGCATCATTGCAACGTAGGTGTATAGAGTAGTTTTCGATGATGCCCAACAAGCTTCTAATTAAAACCATGCCTTTAAAATCAATAATTAACAATTTAGTTACTCAGAATTAATTAATAACCCGATTGTATTGAAAGCTGATAATTTTCCTTAGCGGGTCCGGTGACACAAACCCCAACGGCATCAACCTTTTTTTTGTGCGATGAGGAGTTTTCGCAGGATCGATTTTGCTGGCGTTTCTGGAAACGCCCTGTATAAGTAGACTTGCACGACGGTGCGACTCAGACTTGAAAATACGCTAGTTTTACAAATATTAGCGAGCGATGCATTGTAATGGGAATATAATTTGAAAGTGTAGTTTTACTCTGCCATTTGGCATCTCATTGTACGAGACAGATTTTTATTATGCTGTTAACTGTTCTTAAAGAGACACTGACACCCTCCGAAATTTTTTTAAATTTTTTGTGAGGCGATTTAATATGGTTAAGAAGACTACCCATTTAGTCTTTTGCTACAGCGTCGGATATATATTTTTATTAACGTAAAAAATGCAACTGCACGAAACCGAAACTGGGCTGGGGAGGAAGAAGAAACATAGAGGAGGAGACCGTTGCCAAAAATCATGTGGCTGTGCAACTTTTTTTTTTTTTTTTTTTTTTTTCAGTTAATGTATTTGCAATTTTTTAGGAGCCACAAAAAATGGGTATCATTTTTCGTTTTTATTTTTCAATACTGAATGTGGGTCTTTCATGACCCACAGCTTTGATTATCTTTGGTCATGTCTATACCATAGAAAACGGCTCGTGACCGCGGAGAAGAGAGTGAGCGCTACTCAATCCGGCCAGTTCTGGGTCAACGGTTTTTGGGCTGAAAGAAAAGAAAATACCCTGTCAGGGTGTCCCTTTAAAAGGACCATGAAGGCAATCGGGAAGTTCAGTCTAACAATTTAAATAGATGTCGGGCGTCTTCCAGGTAATGTTGACGAAGTTTTAGTCCGAACTTGCGCCGCACAAATTAATTTAACAGATCCACCAATAATCACACCGAGAAAGATGACAGCGCCGCTGCACACTGCGAAAAAAAATCATCCTTTTGAGTTACGTGAGCCGTGACGTCACTCGAGGCTCGTCAGGTGTTTGGTCTAAGTAAACAGAGTCCGCATGTGTTTGTATTCAGTCGTGAGTTGTTAAAAAAAAAGTGCGTTGATTAAATTCACTAACAAGGAAAACTGTATATTTCTGTCAGAAAGGTTTACTGCGAAAGCAGTAAAACACAGCTTCAGTCTGCCGACGCTTCAACTCAAATAGCCAAGTGCCGGGCACTACCTTGAAAAGCGTTGTGTGGCAAATGCAAGATTTTTGTTTCTCGCGAGACAAGGGGAAACAGTGCACCATCGCATTTTGTCCGTATTGTCGCGCAATTTTCGGTTCCACGCGTGAAGGGAGCTGCAGAAACTGTTCCAGGCTGATGCACTGCAGTTTTCTGTACTCCTCCGGGTCTACGTCGGAAAGCTGTCGAAGCTCCCCTAGCGCTCCGCAGTCTTTCCTGCACAGCCATCCGGCCTTTCATCCAATGAATCCAACGAGACCGTCTTGCGCCCGTGGTGTACCGAAGTTGTTGTGCGCCAATATGTGGGAACGAGGTCATCGGCAAATGCCCCTGCGTGATCTTGAGACTCCGCCGCTTTTATGCCGAGCCTCCTTGAGCAGGACCATACTTGTGTCGTGTCTTTGGTTAGAAAAGCCGATGGCGTCCGCTTTAAGCGTGTCGCGGTGTTCTGTCTCGCTTGGTACCCAACAGCGACACGCAACAATTATTGTTCTTTGTAATGCGACGGCACCGCTCGCAACGCGATAGGCAATAAATGATGTTGACAAAATATAAGTTCCATACACGTGGTTGCGTTTGAAGGAACTCGACTGTGTTGCATCGAAAAATGGCCGCAAGTCACCGTGTCATCCGTGCTTCGTGTGGAGCGTGGCAACCAATTCAGCGAGTTGCTGGGCAGGCGACAAAGGAGCACAAATGCCCCGGTTGCTCGCAGTTGCATCTCGGTACGACAGCCTCGAACCACAAAGCGCCGCTACGGCTCACCATGCCATCTACCCTCGTAACCACTAAATTATACCGAAATTGATGGTTCCCTTTGATTTCACTGCCATTTTAAGAGATGTTTTATGGCGGCGGGAAAGTTAAACGTCGGTTTATTTCTTTTTTTATTTTTGACAAAATAAGCCTCGTAGAACTGTATAAAAAGAGTGAGCATATTGCCAAGTCTCTAGAGAGTCGGAAAACAGCCTTTTTAAAATGAATTCAAAACCGTCTTCATGGTCCCCTTTAAAATGATTACAAAATGTTGAAAGTTCTCGGAACTGTATATAAATGATTTTGATCTTTCATAAAAAAGAATTTCCAGGTCAACTAAGATTTCTTTAAAGTAATCACCGTATCAGTGTTTCTTTGATGGTGAGGCTGGCGTGGGCACTTTACAAAAAATGGGGGCGATGTAATTTAGTTGATCGTGATTTTTGTTTTGCAAGTAAAATTTCTGGTAAACTATGCGTTCCATATAAAATTTCCCGAGGTAACTAGGCCTGTCCCAAGCCTCGCCTAGGTACCCCAGCACAGAAATGTTTTGAGTCTCTCAACACAGCCATTGTAGGCCGTCCAAATCAAGGAGTTTGGTGTGTTGGAGCGCGTAGTAACTGTGATGGGGCCAGTTCACCGTTTGTATGGGAACTGTCTGATGTTTGTTCATTTTGAAACCTTGTTTTTGTTTTGGTTATGACCTTAGAGTGAACTTGGAACCGTTATTGAGGGATTTGGGCCGTCCCCCTTTGTGCTGTTGCAGACTGCCTGCCATGGATTTCCACACTGCCCGAGCGCCCTGGCCTGGGACCCGTCTTTGGAGCTCTTTGCCATTGGGACCAAGACTGGTTCCTTGAGGCTGTATCCTTCTGGCACTGCTTTTTTGCCACAACATTTACATGTGTTTCAAGTGTATTTCAGTTTTGTAGGATATTGCTTAGTGTTTGTTGTGTTTGCTATATACCACCAGCAGTAGTTGTGAAATCGCTCCCTGTCAAACCTTTAGGTTGTTTATCGCTCCAATTGTCTTACCTCTCCAGCAAGTGGGCGTTTGCCCAGAGTCTTAATTTTTTATCTTGTTTTTTTTTATTAGTATTGTGCCGTAATAGCTGCATTTATCTTCTGTGCTTTTAATTGCCAACAGAACTTCCGATGTACATGCCAACCTGTCATTCTGTAGGTAATTTTTCGTCATATTAAGGCCAATTAAGGATTGTTTACAGGAGTCTTAGATTGTTTTAGATAATTTAGTTTGCTTTGCAGGGTTGGCCTGACAGCTTAATATTTAAATTTTAGTGCTTTCAGTTTACTTGATTTGTTTGCCTCTGTTCCGAACTCCTCGTAAAACTTAGCTTGCGGAAAAGGATCGTCGATTGCAGGGATGGGCAGCATTTAAATACGTATTTAAAATACTTTGTGTATTTTGCATTTGTATTTAATTACAAATTGGGTAATGTATTTGTTGTGTGTATTTAAATCCTAAAATGTGGGTATTTCAAATACAATTGTAATTAAATACAATTTTGTGGGCGAAAATACATCTTGTTTTTATGCTTGTGTTTGTAAGATATAGTCTCCATCCTTTATTCGGCCATGGGGCTTTTTTTCTTTTTCTCCTCCGGCTTTATTTTAAACGCACTGTCCAGAGTAGGAAGAAAACTATGTTCTGCACCGAATGCAGTGTCTCTCAATCAAGCACAAGCGTTTAGTGACTTTGTGATTACGGTGCTAGTCCAGGGCAAGAATAGTGACGAAATCGACGTTCACAGGCAGACTGGCTAAATAAGTGCCTGTGACAACTTGTGATGCTTTCCAGTCTGATTTCCATCCATATTTTTGCCTGGAACATTCTAAATGCGCAAGTTGTCCAGATTTTCGTAACTGGTACGAGTTGCAACAGTAAAAATATCTCTAGCTAGTGCTGCATGTCTTGGTTATTACTATAGCCTCGCACACTAACTCCCGAGTGTGTGATGTAAGATTAAAATGAGATACCCAGAAACCCGTTGCAGGTTCCCTAAAGTCGCTGATGCAAATTTTGAGGAATGTATTTGGAGGAGACCAAATGCATTTGGTTGTATTTGTATCTTGTACTTAAATGCTTTTTTGGAAATGTAATTAGATTTGTAATTAAATACATTTTTGACAAAGTATTTTATATTTGTATTTCAATACATATTTGCATGTATTTTGCCCATCCCTGGTCGATTGGAGTGTTTCGGTCAACCATAGTAAAACAGTGCTCAAAAACATGAAAGACATGCAAAAGGAGTGCACACAACAAGCGTCATATTCTTTACAAGTGTTTTCATGCACTTTTTTTTGCTATTGTTGGTCAGAAATAGTTTTCCACATTGCCACGCTAATTCCGTCCGGGTCCTTAACACCAGACGGCAGCTACGGCACTCCCGGTGTCGAGTATGTGGTGGAGCATGACGCAAGCAGCCCTGTCGTAGAGCTGCACTTCGTGCCCAAGCAGGTGGGGGTTGTTTGCTTTGCTGCTCTTTCTCTCATTTTAGCTTTCTTGCGTACTGTTTAATTTTTTCCGGATAATTCATCTTTCTCCGGCAGTGCGGAATTAAAAAATATGTGCCCGGTGGCAAGACTTGTTGCATCACCGGAAATTTATTCGTCTGTCGCCATTCCAGAGATTTAATCACCGTCGATCGCTCCGTGACAATTTCTTCTGGCAGCTCGGATTATTTTCTCCCGTCGGGATTGTTCGTAAGAAGTGGAGAGCATCACATGCCACTCGTCTCTTTATACGAAACTGTACATACCGTGAACGATACTCGATAGAAATGGCCTACCACACCAGTGCACACAGTGACTGAAGGAGATGTAACAAAATTTCACGAAAACTTGTGTGCAATGATGATAACACAAAGCTTTTTTTTTTTTCGCTTTTCCTCTATCTTCAGTCTTTTTTGCTCGTTTTTCTACATTTTGTTTCCATGTCACGCTCACATTCTTTGTTGTTTAAACACTTTTCTGTTATTAATCGCAGAATACGTTCTAGGGCAAAGTTTCTTGAAAAAAAGCGACCTTTACGCTTATATCTAGTGACGTGTCACGTGACATCACAACGTCGTGCGACCAATGTCGCACACTCGGCACGTGACCAACTCATTTGCAACACATTTTGTGCGTCCTAGTTATTCCAATAGGATCGAGACCATATTGTTAAAACACCCGGGACTAGGTGTGAAAAAACTTGAAACAACCAAAAGTAGAAGAGGCAGGGAAAGAAGCCAGTCAGATGACGTCTCATACTCAGCTAATACGTTTATTCAGTAAACCTCTTCTATACACTCTGAAACCAAGGTCGTAACAACCAACACAACAAACAGAAAAAAAAAAAAAAAAAATTGCAGGAGGACACTTAAGAGTGCTTACGTGTGGGAAAGCGAAAGCATTCGTGTACGTAGCATATTCCAGCAAACTGTGCTCCCCGCTATCAAACTGTGCTCCCCGCTATCCCCTGCAGAGGTTGGCCGAACAACCTCCGCGGACGCTGTCCGGCTGGGCTCTGGGGAGCGGCAGGTGTGCGCTGCTGCGGTGGCACACGGGAGCAGCGTCAGAAGTGTGGGGGGGCGTTCCTTGGAACTATCCGGCGCACAGGCTGTGTCGCAGCCGTTTTAACAGCCGTTCCGTGGACGGAATTTCTCTGCCGTTTTTCGCAGTTACGGACAACTCCGCTCCATGGGACAGTTAATGCTTTCGCATTAGAATCCATTTTCCTTTCCTATTTTTTACAAACTTTGCAGCCATCAACGCCATGACCTTGTGTGGTCACTCTACCTTTGAATGTGTACATCGATGGCTGCAAAGTTTATAAAAAAAGTTAGAAAGAAATCTCTTTTTTTCTTGTTTTGGTTGGTAATGACTGGTTTCAGGGTGTATATAAGACGTTTGCTAAATAAACGTATTAGCCGAGTTTGAGTTTGAGACCTCTTTCCCTGTCTCTTCTACTTTTGGTTGTTTCAAGTTCTTTCGCACCCAGTCTGAGGTGTTTAACCAGATGGTGAACTTACACCAGCTCGCCTGCGTCCTCACTGTGTTTTCGATGATCGAGACGCTTCATTCTTTCATGTACTGTGGCCCGCCCCCCTTAATCTAACACAGTCCCTGGGGGGCCGTTTAGAAGTATTCAGAACGAAATTAACGAACCTGCTATACCCTCGTTGTGATGTGGGACGCAGGGTCGCCTGATCAGCCTGTTGGAAGACAACACCCTGCACCTCTGGGAGATCAACGTCAAGGGAGAGGGATCTGTCCTCGAGCACGTCCAGTCATGCACCGTCGATGCCAAGTGCGCCCTACCTTTTCTCGGGGAACGGTTTTGGGGGGAACACCGTCTTGAGCAACGCATGGGCTCCTTTGCCCATGCAGCGTCTTTTGGGGAACGAGGAAGTTGGGGAGGTGTGTACCTGCGGAGTGCAAGATGCGGTATCCGGAATAAATGAAAAAAGGAAGGAAAAAGGCGCTGATTGCCGGGCAATGTATTATTATGACTATTCCTGACGACTGAGAGCTTCTTTTGGAAGGGACAAAGCAGCGGCTTGGTCGCCGCAATCTCCCGAGTCGAGGCTTCTGACAGTGCCCTCGTTTGTGGGACGCCACATTGGGTGTTAGGCCATGCAGTATTCTTTCTGGTTTATGGCATGCCCGTGGGGTGACTGTCGTTTGAGTAACTGTTGCGGGAGGCTGCGACCTACAACTGGCCGGTTCTCCAAGCTACCAACGACTCGGGTAATGAGCTTGGTCTGTCCGTCTCCCCCTTCCCCAAACCAGGCTGCGCATCTTCACCTGTGCGGTGCAGTCGACGGGGCAGCACCTGCTGCTGGGCACAGAGGGTGGCAACATCCACCTGCTGGACATCAAGTCCTTCCAGATGACTGACACCATCATCTACCAGGACCTGGTCACCCAGAAGTGAGTGGGCTCTCGGGCACGCTTTTCCGGGCCTTTGATACTTTAAAACTTTATTACTAAAGAAGAAGTCTGTCGAACATGCAGCAACATTTGAAAGGCACATTTAAGGGGGAACACTGCCCAGAAAAAGAATTTCTGCAAATAAAGTTTATTTTGTAAAATGACATATTTACATTCATTAACATCTGGAGAGTATTCTCAAAAAGGTTAATTAATTTACACTGCTTAGTTAATTTTTATAAATTATTTTCTGTCTACCGAAGCTAAAGAAAAGGTAGGGTTTGGAGCACTTTGAAGGCTTCTTTTCGCCGTTTCACTTTTTGGTATAAATTCCATTGTAGTCAATCTATTGTTTGATAATAGCAAGATATTGAATTCTCATTCTTCCCTTTTCCTGACTGAAATTTAATAAGGAATGCGGCTATGGAACATTTTTGTCACTTTACGGATGTCATTTACAAAAAAATGTTGACATTTTGTCGAAGCCATGGAAGACCATAAAGTTGACCAATTTTGCAGAAAAGAAAATTTATACAAATAAATTTTTTTTAGAAAAAAACATTCTATAGTCGCACTCTCTAGGCTTTCTCATACATATCTAGCGAATAAAAATCTTGAATAATGTGATAGCTTTCCAACGATAGATTAACTAAACAATGTAGGCATGTTGCTGATAGAAGCTGCTTTAATTTCCTTCCCATTTAACTGACAAACCTAAAATTTTGTTATACTCCCTCTAGCATGACCACCATCCTACCCTGTAAATTTGATTAATTTTAAGACAAGGGTTCAAAAGTCATTGGCTCGTTGCAAAAATCTTTTTTTTTTTTCTTCAGATGCTTATTTGAGCTAGAAATGTGGTAGCATGGCCATTTTTGTTTAGTTGTATGAGCTTATAAATGGTGGTCATAAACAACTTTTTTGAACTGGATACTGTTTAGCCAGGGTAAAGCCTTTTTAAGTGTGGCCATGATGCTGAACTGGAATGCAAACGAAATATAAGCGTGTTTCGATCATATCTGGCAAACTCTGAGATGCACAGAACGTGTTGGGAATGAGCTGGCTACACTCTGTGTACTTTTGTGTGTGTCACGTCATGGACACCCTGATGTCAAGATCATGTAAGCTATATGGGGCTGTGTTGCTTATATGGCATCGACCGGTGTGTTGCTTGGATGTAACATGTCATTTTTCTCGTGAAACCCAGCTTCATGTCTCATTCTGCGTTAAAAACCCTGTGCGCAGCGTTCCCGAGGATTACAAGATCAACCCTGGTGGCGTGGAGGCCATAGCGGAGCACCCCTTGGACCCCAACAAGATGGTGATTGGCTACTCCCGCGGCCTGATGGTGCTGTGGGACAACGAGACGCTCAATGCCGAGCAGACTTACATCTGCACCAAGGTCCGTCCACTTTGTCTTCTTAGTTAGACTGTGTAGACGTAGGCTGTCCCGTACGTTTTACTCGAGATATTTAAGTAGACACCGCAATGGGAGGCTATCGGACAAACATTTATTCTTGCAGCTTTTAATTTCTTGCAGGCCTACTCGCAAGTTTCAGTTGTCTTCTAATGATCTACTTGTAGTCTAAAATTTATGCAGGCTCACCCCTCCCCTTGGTGTGCTTCTCCAATAGTGATGAGCCTGGCGCACCTGCTGTCGCATGCCTAGTTTTTCGCTTCTGGGAAATCTGCGAGGTTGGGTGGCAGACCTTTCTAAAGCACTCGTGTTGCACCAACTTTTGCGGAGGTACCTTCTCTAGCAGAGTCGCTCGCTCGTGCCTACGGGTTCCGGGTTCCGTAGACAGCCGAGCAGAGTAAGAGCTAGGAAATTTGCGCTACTGAAAGGGCGTTTAGTTTCGTTGGAACCCTAGCCAACAAAAGGACACAACTGCCGTCGCACGAGCAACGGACAAGACTGGCTTCCGTGAACGACTTCTACGGTCCAATATCTGGAGGCTCGGAGAATGGGGCATAAATCTCGGTGGTCTTTTGCCTTCCTCTCTCCCATCCTTGCGGAAGGCATGCTTTGGGACCGTGTCTAACGCCCCTCCCCTTGCACCCGATGCCGCTAGACAAGAGAGGGATCACACTCACTAAATGACACATTTTCACTGGCCCCTTCCCCTCCCTCCTTCCTCTTGCAGGATCTCCACTCGGTGTCGTGGCATGGCAGTGGCACCAAGTTCATGAGTGCCCACAACGACTGCAGCTATTTTGTGTGGGGCATTAAGGACTCCAAGGCCATAGAGTCTGTGGAGCAGTGCTACGGTGAGCCCCTTGCTTCGCTTATGGAAGGACCGCAGAGCTCCACTGGCTTCCTGCTGCGAACACGTACCAAACGACGGTACTATAAGGAAGGCTATCTTCTTTGATAAATTCGCAAAGCGTGTTACTGGCCGTTTCCTTGCAACTCTCCGCAAAGAATCTTCTTCCTGAACGTGAACAAGGTAAAATATATGAAGCTCTTCAACTCGGATGCGACATAAAACTTCGTTGGGTATCGAGTCGTGTTGGGGTTTCAGGGTACGAGACTGCAAATAGATTGGTTGCGTCTGCCGAAGATTCAATTATGACAAGTTGCGACTTACCCCACCAAGATCTAAAACCCATGTTTTTACTTGGTGACTGCCATTTGTGCCATTTGGCTGTGGTTTTGGTTTTCTGAAAAAAAGACTGGTAACTTGCGCCGCTTGTAATTTTTATCCCGCCATCTCAAACCTCTTTTTGTTTCGTGTCGTTTAGTGCGTTCTAAATAACGTCAAATTGGCGCAATATGTCCTTTGTCATGTTACACCATTAAAACCTTCATCATAGTCACTTGCGACGGTTTCTTCGGTTCGAGAGGGATGGCACATGTATGGACCAACACGCTGTTTACAAACAAGCCCGCGTTTGCCCACACAAGGTGTGGGCACTGAGCGTGCTCAGAAACCAAATTCGGGAGGAGTGAAGCGTCTGCGCGTGTGCAGTGCCGTCGACAGCGTCGCCGCATCTGCGTGACGTCAGGGCCACGTGTTGGTCTATAGGCATAGTCGACAGATCCAACCAATGTTGCTAGATCAGCTAAGTTGACAAGCTCCGAAAAAAAAAGTGACGCACTGCCGTTCACCGCCACGAAGCGGTGCTCGTGTCGCAGCCTGCCAGACACGCTCTATCTGACTGGCCTCGGTACCCTTGGATATGCCGTGAAACACGTCACTTTTGTAGGGGCTCACAGAGTGTCGCCAACAACCGTTGCCATTGTGATAATGTCCGGATTGAGACAATATTTCCTGAGACTTAAGAGATAAATTCACGCACTCGAGGCCTTCGTAGCTTTGGCAGTTTTTCGACATTCGGCACCGAGGGAGGCAACTCGGAGAAATGGCTGCGTCTATTGTGGCTTGCGGCACATGGACCGTTCTGTTTTGGCCGTTAGCGGGCTGAAATACCGTGAACTTCCCTTTTTTGGTGTTCTGTGTTTGTGCCAGAAGTTCAAGCATAAACTACTGCATACATTCCGAAGCCACATTAGGAAAGAATGCCAATTTGAAGATGTCTTCGTCATTTGAAGGAAGCTGGCTGTTTCTGTATTTGTATTCGGCTACGTTGAAGCCTACCGCTGGAACATCTGAGGTGGTGAAAACGGCTGACTTATTCCTCTCGTGTGTTCTTTGCGTGTGTCACAACTTCAGTCCCTTGAGTGTGCGTGCCACTTCAGAGACGTGCGACTAAGGGGTAAGAATTTCAAGACATCTCTTCCGATCAGCTGATCAGCACAGATTCATATGTGTATGCTTGGGAGATTTAATTGTGAATGTGCGGTAGATATTAGAACCGTTATCTTACAGTATAGGCTACAGCCTCGTAGCAACAGTGTACGAATTGTGCGGCACACTCGTTTATGTGAAACGAGTTGATTTGTGTAAGCATATATGCGTGCTTTAGTGCTTGATAAGGCCACATGCTTGTTGCCTTATTTGTGTGAGTGGGTTAATTTAAATTTGCTTTATATTAATACTCTTTTTCTAGCATTGCAGTTGTACTTAAAATATATTCATGATAATGTTGTTTTATTGATCTCATGACGCTTCTGCAATCTATTTCAAGCCAAAATAGACATTTCTGGGTACCTCACTGAGCCCCTGAGAATGCGACATAGGAGGGCTGGGGTGCGAAGACCACTGGGAAAGCTTCACTGCCCAACTACTAAGCTTCTTTGTTGGAACACGAATTTAGTTCTATGCGATAGACAGCAATAGAAAGTTGGAGATGACTGAGAAGGTGGCAGTAGCAAACGAGAAAGCTGGGCTCCTGTGATCAACAATTAAGAGTATTTTCAGCCTTGGTGTCTGGTCGCAATATTTTTCATAGAAAAATAAATAAATTTTGTGCAGTATTCATTAATTATTTTAGCCACGCCGAAGATTTGTTGTGGCAACAAATGAGTTAGAAGACATATTTTTGTTAGTTTTACTGCAAAAAACGTGGGAGCGTTTATCGAGAACTGGATATGGCGATGACGATGTTTGCGAGCCCCCGCTTGTGGATGCTGGTCCTAGACGAATATGAGAGACATCAAATATGACATAAATCCCGTTTTACTTTAATATGACACGAGAAGAAAATTGTACTCAGAAGCACTATCCAACGCTGGGTACCTACGCTTTAATCCGTTGCGTTATACCGTCTAAAAATAGAAGAAATCTTAAGCGTGCATATTCACAATCGTGGCTGCAGCAAAATCTACTTGGAAAGCCCATTTCTTAAAGAAAAGCACGCAAGGGCCGCCGCCGATTTGCCGACCGCCCGATTTCGCAATGAAAAGCTGGCATCCCGAGTTTGCCCAGAGCTTGGTTGGCCTTGAGGACCGGGCTTGGGCTGTGACGACGGCGCCACCACATTTCGCGCAAACGATGGGGGCCGGTATTCTGAAGTGCGGCTAGTGCGGAGCTTGGCAACCGAGCCGATCTATTAAAGTTGGATCCGACCTTGTCTGTTTGAGTGCCGCTTGATTGGAGTTTGTTTGCAGGTCCCTACCCTTGCAAGGCGATAAACAAGATTCTCTGGAAGAACGTGGAGGGAAAGTAAGCACCCGTGTTTCATTTCTTGGGCTTGGCCAGAAAGGACGTTTGTTGCGGTTGATGTTCCTTTTACCCGGCGACAAGCAGGTTAGGAGGTTTGTTTACAACTAGCACTTGTGGCAGGTACTACCATAAAATGGGGTTTTCTCAAAGTTTTCGATCTTGACGAACCCCTCCTGTTCTTGACATGCGACAGGGCAGGGCAGGAGCCTACAAGCCTTGTAAACAATAATGCACATTACTTAACACTACTACATATAAATAACTGTATTGAGTTACTTTCAAAATAGAATGAGTTTGATGAGTCGATTTCTACGATAACATTGTCGCGAAGGAGCGTTGTAGCAAGTGTCGGGACCGAGTGACATGAGCGAGCGGAGAGGCGGCTAACGAGGAGGAGCACCTCTGTTACCTAGGTGGCTCAGAAGTCTGGGGTGGGCGCTCGATACGTCCTTTGCTTAGGATGTTTCTGAAGTGGTGGGTGGGTGCTGTACGAGCTTAAAGACCGCTGAGTACTTCTCAAACCGTTTAATGTGTACGGATCATATTTGGGGAATTGACTCGTTTTTTTTATTGCTTCATTGATCTAGCATTGTCACCCATTCTACTGGTATGTTCTTTAGTAGACTGGGAAATTTACGAATGAAGGGGAGTTTCATCGCAAGCTTTGCTTTACTTCATTCACCCTTAAAGACCGACGACCAGTTCGCGCTTTCCACTTTTTTCCCGATTCCTCCCCTCCCCCCTTCTACCCTGTCCACCGTTGCCCGTTTCCTCCTCCCCATGGTGAGGAGGATCTTCTGCCTTGCAGAATGTCGAGCCTGGTCGTCGGCCTTTAAGCTGAGACCACAACTCAAGCTACGAGCGCGAGCTAGCCCAAGCTCCTGGCTTTGAAAAGGGCCTTCCTAGCGCGAGTGCCCGTTCTGCAGAAGAACGTTTGAAAGCTGCGACCTCAAGCTCTCAAGGTTGTAGCATTGGCTGCAGTCTCGGTTCAAATGCCGACCAACAAGCAAAAAGGAGGAAGCTGACTCTCCTCGACTTTCTCCTGGCAGTTTTTTTCTACAAGAGGAAAGAAGGAAAGAACCCCTCCTTTTTTTGTTGCCGTCTAGGATTAGAAAAGATTAGTCTAGTGGCCATTTAGCACTAATCGCACAAAAAAAAATTCAGAAGCCACACCTTCTTTGTTCCCCACTTCCCCCTTCTTGTTGCTACCCTTCACTTGGACCCTCGCACTGGAAGTGCCGAGAGTGCCATGGATGCTACAAACTTGTCGGACCAGTCGTACGCCTGTCTTTCCCCACATGGTCACGTTCCTGCCCATACGTCTGCATAAAGAGCGGGGTCGGGCGACGAAGGGGAGCGGTTGAATGGTCCATCCAGTATGCAGCTCCCACCGCACCATCAGCTTTAGGCTGAACAAGGTATAGATTAAAACTGAAGAAAGCCAAGTCACTATTTTCGCAAGCTAGCATCTGCTTGCCCCATCAAGTTCCTCACGTGGTTCATTCATTTCAACAACCGTCTGGAAAGCATATTACCGACGGAACACCACCGACTGTTTTTTTTTCTGAACATTGACTTTTTTTTTTGTCTTAAGTTTTTTTTATTTTAAATGTCCCGCAGTTTTTTTAATGGTAATTTTTTTTATTAGAGAATGAAATATGGTTTTTTACTGTTTCATCAACTGCATCCAATACTAAAACTAAATTTTGATAATAACTAATTTTGACAAATTTCACGATTTAAAAATAGTGAAAAAATTGTATAGCTTAAATACATCGCTCCGTCGCAACCAGTACATAGCGTACCACCTCCAATGGTAAAATGTCGTGCCCGCTTAATAATCCTAAGATTCATGCTTGGCGAAATCAACAAAATTACGTGAACGCAAAAATAAAGTTGTTTGCGGTACAGCAAACGTTGAGGTCTCCGAGCCTTTATTCTATGTTCTTCTCGAAGAAAAGTAGGCAAGAGGACGTTTTAAAGCAATCCGCATGTCAGAGGAGGAGACTGCAGCCGAGCATCGGCTTAGTGTTTTCGGCTGAGTTTGGCACGACAATGTTCAACCCTCTTCTAAAAGAAGCAAACTCTGAAAATGAAGATGATTCATTAAGTGCCATGTCCATGAAAGCTCTGCCGTGCCTCTCTGAAACACCTCGGCATTTTCACGCAACCCCTCAATAAGTGAAAAACGGCTTAACTATGACATGGGGGTCATCATCCTTTGTTGGTGACATATCTGCGCTCAAGAAAATACACCATGCCGCCAAAACTTGGCTTAGCACATAAAAAAAATTGAAAAAAGAATACATGACTAGCAGCTCAGTGCCACTGGCCCTATAAAAAAAAAAAGAACAATCTCCGTTGATCCCTGAGCTGACAGTGCTGTGGGAGTTAGGCGCCTGCTGGACCAATTAACAGCCTCCCTTTCATGACGTGACCCCGCTTCCTGCTTGTGTGTATGGACGGAAGCATAATCTTGTGACTAAAGATAGACTTAGGACTGGTTTGACGAGCAAATAGCTTCCACTGTAATGTCGGCTTAGGAATGAAAGGAGTATGTCACAGAATGGCCCAAAAAGCGATCCACGAATCAAGCGATGGCAACAGCGCCTTTCGGTGCTCATTTCCTGCCAGGATCCCTGTTCAGGTTTGTGGGGGGTTGTAAGCCGCACAGACGCTTAGCTTGAGAGAAAGAGGTGAAGAAATTGGAAGAAAATTGGAGGGGGAATACGGAAAGGATAGAAATATTCTGGCAGAAAGAGTTTATCTTTGCGCGTCTTGCTTTAAGAATGAACGGAGTATAGGCTCATTCAGACTTCTTTGCACCTCCTGCACCAGCTGCACTCCGTGCACACCACCGTATTCATTTTACGAGTGCAGCCTATCTCAAAACACAACTGAAAATGAACATGGCCCTGCACTTTTCTGCACCGCGCTACACATCAAACAGCAATGGCCAGTACTCAAACCAGTTTGAACTGCTAATAATTGAATTTCAATTTAGACATTCCTTTTAAGAGGGGCCACAACCTGGGAATGTCAACTTTTGAATTGCTCACTCAATCGGCGTGATATTTGCAGGTGATGTTTGTAGCCATATAGAAGAAGAATGTGCAAAGTTTCAGCCCTGTGAACGAAGTAAAGCATAGCTTTGCATGGAATCTGCTCAATGAATCTATCATTGAGAAATGGTGTTGATAACCTGATATATATCTGGTGGAATGCATACTGAATACCTGTTGAGAGTTACAATAAAAATAAATTTCAGAAAATTTGCATTTCCCAAATAAAAAAAAATGTGAATTTTTTTTTTTTACATTTATTAAGTTTTGCAGATTACAATTTTTTATAATAAAGGAACATGGAAATGCAATATCCAAGTTCATAGTAACTGGCTCCACAAAGTTTGGCACACAAGCCACAAATATTAAGTTTCGATAGTTCCATACTGAAACAATAGTTTTTTTTACAGTAAAGTTTATACCAAAACGTGTACCAAAGAAAAGCATGTCCGAAGTGCTCAAACCTCTTCCTGTTCTTTAGCATCGGTGGACCAAAAGAAAAAAAAACAAAAACTATGCAGTGTAAACACAAAACTTTCTGGGAATACTCTTTAGGTGTTAGTGGATGTAAATATGGCATTTTTCAAAATCAACTTTTTTTGCTAAATAATTTTTTCTGCATAGTGTCCCTCCTTAAAGACAACTGGCAGGAAGGAGTATGTTGCGTGTGCATTGTTCACACATTTTTATACAAAGTTTATAAACTGTTTGTTTCCTTCCTGCTTGAGGGATGGAGTGTTCATACCTAAAAGAAAAACATGACAAAGCATTAAATTTTTTGAAACCAGTTAGCTGGTAACTTCTTCTTTTTAGTGCAGTGTTTATCAACATCAGGAAACAGGCAAAGAGGTGGTTTGTTTAGCTCCAGTTTCGTCTAGGTTAACGGGTCATTTTGGTTTTGTTGCAACATTGTACTCCTTTCACACTAAGCCCGAGCGCAGCCGCTGCTGCTATTCGAGGGAGCCAACCGGGCAGCATCAAAAGTGCTTCATCGCGCGTCACGGCTCTTGTCGTCGTCCATGCATTGGCCATTGCTGGCACCGTGCGTGATCGGCTCCGTCGAATTGTGGCACCAGCTGCACCCGGATTTAGAGTGAGGCCGGATACAGGCTAAACAAGTTGTCGTACGAAACGCATGCTCGACGCCACTTTGCAGGGACAACTTCATCATCTTCTCCGGTGGCATGCCGAGGGCCAACTATGGCGAGAAGCACACGGTGTCCATCAAGCATGGTGACAAGTCCAAGGTGCTGGATTTCACCTCCAAGGTGGTGGACTTCTTCACTGTGGACACCCAAGACGACAGCGGTGAGGCTTGCCGAGACCCGGCCTACGTTTGCGGGGACTACCGTATTTTCCCGCACTCGGCGTATGGTCTGCAGTGGCAAATTTCGGCCGAAGAAGGAAGGGTTTTTCCTTGATATAGTCTGCACCCTGTGTATGGTACGCATGCACACCTTGGCAAATGCTCGCATTATTAGCTTACAAAGAAGCTTGTAGTATTGTACAGAAATCATCATTAACATACTCTGTCATTCTCGAAGTTTTCACGTTTTGTCGTAATGAATGATCTAGAACAGTGGTTCTCAACCATCCATCTTTCGCAGACCCCTTGTGGATCAGCGGAGATGGTGGGGGACCCCGTTTGTGGTCAGGGGAGAGGAAATGTGTACAATAATTGTGATAATGATTTAAGAAATGGATATAACTAAGGGCTGTGTGAAATAGACTTCTCTCATTGACAAACACGCGAGAAAATTCATTCGAAAGTTGGAACGTTTCTTCTCAATCAGGTAAAAGAAAACTTATTGCCAGGCTCGACCGATAAGGCAGGGCTTCCTGAACCCTAGGGTGCCTTCCCCATTCGAGAACCACTGATCTAGAAAAACAAATCCTTGTATAATCTGCACTGGTTATACAAGTGCAGATTATACAAGTACAACTACTTAATGTGTGTAGTCTGCAGACCGTAGTCGGGGAAAATGCGGTATGTTGGGGAAGTCTGGGTCGGCTGCCCGTCCACTCGATGGTGGCGCGCCGGAGCTCCCTCGCTGACACGGCGCGCGGTTCGCAGGGCACGAGGTGCCGCAGGCGCTGGTGGTACTCGCCGAGGAGGAGCTGGTGGCGGTGGACCTGTCGTCGGAGGATTGGCCCACCTTCGCCCTTCCCTGCCTGTCGAGCCTGCACTCGTCGGCCATCACGTGCACCAACCACTTTGCCAACGTGCCCCAGGGGGTCTGGGACAGGCTGGAGGAGGCCGGCCAGAAGCAGCTCTCGGCCTGCTCTGCCAAGGTGGGGCACCCGGGGGGGCATCGCGCCGCAGCGCTTGGGACGAGTCTTCGACTAGTGCGTTTAGCATCCTGTCCCCCCCGCGTATCGAAAGTGGTCCCGAAGTGCCAACAAGCGACGTGGCGGAAGCCGGCGCGTCGTTCCGTCGAATGTTGTGATCCCGGCGGTTTGTGTTAGATGTGCTGGCAAAGTGTGGGAACGAAGGGGGGTGCTGCGGCTGTCGTCGCGGGGTCCCGACTCCGGGCTGCCAAAGTTACCGTGGACTGTCGAGCTGGAGAGCAACCCGCAGCAGAATGGGCGTTCGCCACATCCATTGTTGCTGCCATGACGCCAGCAAGATCGTCACCGGTGTCGACGTGACGTAATTGGAGGGCCAGTCTTTAGGGCGCGATAAACGCGCCAGCTGGAGACGCGTTCCGGGCACCTGTTTTAATGGGCAGAAGGTCAGAAATGGTACTTAAGAGCCCACAAGTTAATTTCTTTTTCCTGCAACTAGTTCGTCTCTGCCCCTTTGCTAAATTTCGAATTAAGGGGAAAAGGTGAGGCGGAAATTCGAAGCCTCGCTCAACTCGCGAAGAACGTCCAATGGCTACTGCACCTTCCTCGTGTCTAAACGAGGCAATTTTTGTGCGCAACTGAGTGAAAAGCGTTGGCGTTCTCCTTGCAGCCCTGGCCCTTGAAGGGCGGCCGGGTGACGGGGGAGGCCCCTGGCCAGCACGACCTGCTGGTGACAGGACACGAGGACGGGTCGGTGCGCTTCTGGGACGCGTCAGGCCCCTGCCTGCGGCCGCTGTACACCCTGCGTACGGCCCCCTTCTTTGGCACGGGGGAGGGGCCCTCGGCCGGCCACAGCATGGCGGACGAGGATGAGGAGGAGTGGCTGCACTTCAGCAAGGTGGGTGTGCCGAGCGCTTCGCCTGGGGAGGAGGGGGTGGCCGAGAGATTGGCTTTGAACGCGCGACGTCTATGGGACCGGCTCTTTGAGTTTTCGTGTCTGACCGCGGTGCTCGAACGTTGACGAGTCCTTCAAGAGGAAATGTACAACCTCGTGCGACACTGTGATGCAGTTGACATAGTTATGTGGGTCACATTGCACGAGACCACTACTTCGTGCGACTTAATTGGGTTGCGTCATGACGTCGCGGAGGACCTATAAATGATATTCATTTAGAGTGGCTCTGCAATACGGTCAAATGCCTCTATGACGAATGCCTCCGCCACAAAAACGGCCATTCAACGAAGTAAAATAAAGTCCCGGCCAGTCTTCAATGTGTTTCTTTGTCTATCACAAAGAATTCCAGTTTAACAAATATTTCCGTTTAACGAGGCGATTGTGCGGCCCCACATAGCAAAAGACTGCTACGAGTTTTCTAGGTGAAAATTAGTCAGTGTTGCACAAATTGTCTGTGTCAAGTGACGCATGTAGAGAACAGAGATACCGCGGCAGCGGCGACGATTAAAACCACCACTGCGTCCCTCCGCTGCTGCCGCACCGCACATTCTCGTTTTTGGTCCAGATAAGTTGTTAGTGCACAGCCTTGCCTCTAGGTGGCGCTATGCCACTATGCTGCGGCGTAGAAAGCCTGTACGCAGCAACGTAGTCACCTAGTGCCATCTACATACGAGGCAGACAAGCTTGTACACTAGCAAATTATTTAATCCCAAAACCGAGGACGCGTGGCACGGCGACAGACAGCAAAAAAGGCATATCGACTTTTGCTGCGCTGCGCGCCGCAGCCGTCGCGTGCCAAGTGCATGGCCGATTCTGTCGTGCACCCGCTCCTACGAGAGCAGTGTAGCCGCTTGCAATGCCTTTTCCAAACAACACGTGGTGGAGCAAGCTGGCCGCCAGATTTAGAAAAGGCCAAGTTTACACAATAAGCAAATGCCTCTCATTCGCTGCGTAGTTAGGGGCCCACGTCTGTGGTTTAGTGATTGTTGCGACTCATATTTCGACAAGTCTGTTAACTTTGTTGCGTGGAAGTATGGACAGCGGATAACTTTCCCAGTGGCTGTACTTGCGGTTCGACCGGTAGCCCAGTGTCTTTGAATTATGTTGCGCAGTAGTGAGTACATAAATGCAAGACCGTACAATTTTAATTTATATAAAAAAAAAAAAAATAGAAATGGTAACAGTTCAAGACGCCTGGATTCTGCAGCGCGAGCTTTGCTCCGCATGCTCCGAGCTGCGATTTGCCAGCAGACTCCACCAGCCTACCTCTTTTTGATAAATCAGTTGTCAATGTACAAAAATTCGTATCTGATGTTGCTCATGCAATATTTGGCACTATAGCTTTACCTAAAATGCCTCTAATGTCACGCAGGTATGTCAATATGCAATAGCACGAATTCGGTTTTGTGCGATCGATTTTTCGGGCTCAACTACTACAACGAAGTTACCTCTTCTATGAAATATTTTGCCGACCCCGCAGACTTTGTTATGAAGGCACCTGACTGTGTACGAAAACGACAGCTAGGGTTTTCTTTTTTATGATTGGTTGCAACATAGGATCTGCAGCAGAAGATCTCATCCCGCAGATCTAGCTTCTGTTGCAACGAACTGGTGTGTGTATTGATTAGAACACAAAAAGATTGGAGTGTAAGTACAGCAGGGGGGCTGCCATTCTTTCATGTATTTCTCTTGTGATCAGCACCTGTCAACATGTGCCGATGCAAATATTGCGTTAAAATTCTTTTTTCAGGGGACGTCTATTTTGTGACATTCAGACACTTAAAAAAAAAAAAAATTGTGAGTTTCGTGTTTGGTAAGGTAAACCAAATAGAACATTGACTTGGTTGTTTTAGTGCCAAAAAATCACATGCAGTCTGAGGGACAAAACCTGCAAGTGGGAAAAAAAAGTAAAAAAGGACATACTTTGCTGGAGCCATTTGAAGCTTTGTGACAAATGTAGAGACATAAAATTCAGTTTTTCTCAAAATGACATTTTTGCAATTTTTTAAATATTTGATGTACCTTTGCTAAGAAACTGCTTATCCGATTACACTAAAACTTCTACAGAATATAGTAAAACATCTTGCCAACAGTTGGAGCCTAAATGTTTCAAGCATCCACTATAATATAATGTCAAAAAACTCTGTTTTATGACAGGTAAGAATAATATATTTTTTCTTGAGTGGTGCACGTTCCAACTCATTTTCTTTAGGTTCAGTTTAAAGCCAGTGTCATGGGGAAGATGCTTGTCAAATTAAATGGCCATCCTATTTTTCGTTGCTGCAAGAAGGGACATACAAAAATTGAAACTGGGCATAAAATTTGACACTCGGCTACTAAAAATAATAAAAAAAATGTTTTAGCAAATAAGCAACAGAAAGTTAATCCAAATGATGTAACCATTCAATGCATAAACTTTCCCAATAAATATGCAGAATAGTTTTCGAGGTACAAAGCTAAAACCAAGACGACCCGTTTACTCTGCCATCACCCTTAAAGCAATTGTAGCATATTGGACTTTTGTCCTAGGGACACTTTTATGGTGGAACAAACTAAGTGGGCCATGCAGCGTAGCTCAACCCTCTTGTTCGAAAATGCGTCGTTGAGCACAGCATTTTATATTTTTGTAGCTCTTCAGTACCGGTACTCTAGTCGCCCGTCAAAACATTAAAGGGATGCTGAACCGAAATTTGAATTTCCCATAACACGCACAAAAAGCATGCAACGGGATGCTACAAACACCAAAACATCACTCATACAGCGATATCTCGAACGGATATCCATATTTTTCAAAAAAGGAGATGCATTTGGCAGGAATGTTGACGTCATGTTTCTCCGAGAAGGAGAGGGAACGGCCTTGCGTTTTCTCCGCCTCGCGGCCTTGAGGGAGTGAAGCGAAGAGAGGAGGAAACACGGTATATTGACGTCACGCGTCTCGTCGGCCTGGTTCAATCTCGACCACTTTTTCCAAAAATACGGCAGTCCATTCGATATATCGCCTTGTAAGTAGTATTGTAGGGATCGTAGCGTCCCGCCTACATCTCCAGCATAGTTTTTTGAAATCCAAATTTCGGTGCACCATCCCTTTAATTGCCTCTTGGACGAAGGCTGCGTCAGTGCACGCTCTGCTCGGGCATTGAGCGTCGTGGTCCGTGTCTGGCAGGTGGGCACGTTCGACCCGTACAGCGACGACCCTCGGCTGGCTGTGAAGAAGGTGCTCTTCTGCCTGCAAACGGGGCGCCTGGTTGTGGCCGGCACTGCTGGGCAGGTGGTCTCCTTCTGCGTGGACCCCGACGAGTCGGAGGTCACCTTGGAGGTGAGTCCCACATCGGTGCTGAGGCGTTTCGGCGACTTGGCATCGCGCACCCTAAAGGCTGAGACCGGAGTTGGTGTCCTCTTTGTTCCTCGTCAATTGCGATCAATCAATAGATTAAAATGCAGCCGCAATTTTTTTTTTTTTTTTCGGTACACCTTTTTCTGGCATCTGCTCAGACTTGTAAATCATACTACGAATCAACAAAGACAAGTTGCGCGTGCCATCGAAACCCTTTGCAGGACCATGGCCGTCGTCTCAATGGGTACCATACATTTCTTTTTTCCTTCTGCATCTCCATGCAAAGTTTGACTGTTTTCGTCTTGGTAGGGTGGGAAAGGAAACAGGATTTTAATGCGTTTCCCCTTGTTTCGGGAAAACTTCTAGAGTCTCAACGGGCCGAGGTTGTATACAACTTTTGCAAATGCTGTAGTTGGCTCATGTAGGTATGTACACTTTGATGTTGAACCAATATTTTCAGTTCCGGCCGAAACTGTTTGGCTAACAGCATAAGGAGCAAACATTTTTGGTGGTTCGTGGAAATTTATTGTGGTCTCCCTGACTTTGCTGCGTACTGCATTTATTGAGGTAATGCTTAGCCATTGTTTTGGTCGAGTTACCTCGGAGATGAAAGGGCTAACATGTAAAATCAGACTCCACAACGATAAAGCAAGAGCTCGAGGAGGGGAGGGGTATGACATTCAAGCAGGATTTGCCCAGCTTAAACTCAAGGTAAGATTCTTTGTTTTTTTTGAATGAATACAGTTTTTTTTTTGTTGGCTCTTTCATAAACATGTTAAGCCAGCCACATTGAAATTTCCCGGAGATGAGCGAGCAATCGTGCCACAGTCACATTTGGTTTCAGATATGTGATCTAATGCCAAGAATCCCGATGGTAACGATTGTTTCGAGTTAAAATTTTAGATTTGGACCAGCGATGCCTGGTTCGAATAAACTTTAGAGTGTTATCGGTGCCGAAGATGCAGGAAGTGAAGAAGCATTGAAAACAAGGCTAATTAATACAGATTCGTAATAGAACTGTGATCAAAAAAGAAAGACAAGAGAGACGCATTATTGTCATTCGTTATAATATGGAGCGCCCATCTGTCCTATGCACCTTCTTCTGTCCCCGTTTTGTCAGGTTCCGGCTTTTCGGGTCTTTTTTTCTTTGTTAAAAATTTGAAGGCATTTTCTGGAGAGTATTTTATGTCCACGAGTTCAGTGTTTTTGTATAGCTTTTTTAGGCATTGGGCAAAAAAAAGGGGGTGTTATGGGGGTTGCATCAAAGAAAAGGGGCACAGGCGTGGGATTTTTCAACCTCCGGAGAACATGCACGTGACCCGAATACTTGGAATGCTTAGTACGAATAAGATAAGAAAATGGGACGACGGGTGTGGTTCCTGACGGGTGCAACCTCGTGGGCAGTTTGGCGTCGGTCGTGTTCTGGGGTCAGTGCAAGATAAAGTAGCAGATAAAGATTTATTTCCGTGGAGCTTGGGTTTTTTGTTTTCCAAGACAAGTTCCAATTCATTTTTTTCCCCCCCCCCAATTCTGATAAAACTGGCTTGTGGATGGTTTGGGGGGGGGGGGGGGGGGGGAGGGGAGGGGAGGGGGAGTGGGGGAGGGGGAGGGGAGGGTTGTCGGTCAAGTTTAAAGGCACAGGACCCTATTTGTGATGAATGCGGGTGGTGTAACTGCGTGTTGATGTTCTTCTCAATCTGCTCATCCATTCTTCCCCCCTAGAAATAGTGGAAATCATATCCAAAGGCCTGTTTACACAGCACCATTTGCTCACATCGTGTTATGTTAGGGGAGCTTGCATCTGTTTATGTGGAGAGTCGCTGGAGCGTCCATGCTTCGGTGACCCTTAACGTAACATAAGGCAACGTAAGCAAACGCTCCTGCATGAATGGGCCTTTAAATTCGGGCCGATGATTGCCGGTTTAAAGGAACTTACGAGTGCTGTCGATGGCAGAGATGTGGGAAGCTTGGTTGTGTGCCGATTTCCTTCTCGATATCCTCTCTCACGCACAGGTGGTGCAGGTGAACTTTGTGGGGGACCGGGACAGCTTCGTGTGGAAGGGGCACGACCCCCTGCAGGTGAAGGGGACACCCATCAGGTGCGAGGGGGGCTTCAGGCCAGACATGGTGGTGCAGCTCTCCCCCCCTGCCGGGGTCACCGCACTTGCCCTCCAGTCCAAGTGGGGCCTGTGAGTGGACGAAATTCACTTTGTGGAAGAACGTAACATGCAACTCTTGACCTTCGAGCGGCTGGGACCAGGATATCAAACCGTATACTAACCAAAAACTGGAGCAAAACCGTTATTTTCGACGGATCTGAAACGAAACCTTAAAACCGGAACGAAACTGAAATCAAATGTTTTATACTGGATCCATATCGGAACAGAACCGTGAAGTTGTGTGGCAGTTACCAGTTTTTTTGGAAAACGGCTCAGCGTAATAAAGTATGAGCTGTGCCTCCTTATGCGTGTAGTGGTGCAAAGTCTATTAAATATTTCCAATGGTGGTGTTAGTGGCGCAGCGTCGACTAAACAAATGGCACGACATGGAGACAGTTGAATAATAACGAAACAAACAAAAATATCTTATGTCTACGTGTAGTGTAACTTGGCGTCGGCGAGTCGGGGTTGTTCTTTGTGCGTGCCCATGCGAGTGCAGGTACGCCTAAAGGAGAGAGTTCTGTCCTGCAGGCTTTGGATGGTGCTAAACTTGTTCTTTTTAGTTTTTACAGCGATAGCTGTTACGGACCTTTTGCGCCACTGGAAACGATGTCCGTCGTTAATGTTGTAGTGGTTGTCATTGTTGGTTTTGTAGTTGGCGATGTAGGGCGTCTTTTGTCGATGTTGCCAAATCCTTAAAAAAGATTGCCCGCTGACCGCACAAATCAAACTTGTGCTTGTTGCGTGCGAAGCAGAAATGTCAACACTGAGGTACAGCGCGCCACGTCATTAACAACCTGCTTTAAACCTGGGGTTTTTGGAGTACCCGTTGCCCACTGTACGCGCTGTCTGGAGAAAGCAATAAACCATTTGCTATATCCCCCAAGTGCCCCGGCCCGCGCTAAAAGAATCATGGGAACGGTGTTCCTTCAGCCTCTTAGTGATGGGTACTTTCAACCCTATTCTTGGTTAAACAGGTTTTGAGCGTAATTCGAAGTCACCCTGAACAAGCGCTTGATATATACCCCTATGACCTGTCATATCGCTTTTAAAATTTCTCCTTAATGTCAGCATTTTTGATACTGTGCATGCTGTTCACCCTTCAACCTGGATGGGCTGCAGAAATCTCTTACATTATTATCATGCTGATATTAAGTTAGAGACGCTAAAAATGTTATAATCAGCCTCGCGGACTCCAAGCTAAATCCTGGTTTTTGTTGTTGTGAATTATCATCGGCTTTTTAAGCAATTCCTGCTCAAACTACGATCACGAGAATGATAATATTGTAAGAGATTTCTGCAGCTCAGCCAGGTTGAAAGGTGGACCGCATGCGCAGTATCAAAAATGCTGACGTTGACGAGCAATTTTAAAAGTGATATGAGAGGTCCTTGGGATATATCAGTTGCTTGTTCAGGGTGACCTCGAATTACGCTCAAAAACTGTGTAACCATGGAGGTGGTAGAAAATTAGCGATCACTAGGGAGCTGAAGGAACACCGTTCCCATGATTCCTTGAGTGTGGGCCGGGGCGCTTGGGAATACTGCAAATGGTTTATAGGCGATTACAAAATGCCATTGTAGCCCCATCGATGCCAATAGCTCGTGCCGGCGGACACACTTTCACGCACTCCGGAACAAAAAAAAGAAACAAAAGAGTTTGGAACAAAATGGCCAGGTGTCTATTTAGTTCCGAATGCTTTGCTTATGCACCCCATGGTGCAAAAAGGCGACACCAATTCCCAACGACTTTGCCGTGACGTGTCGCAGCTATTCTCTGTGACTGTACTGTGGATTAACACAGGACTGCTTAATTTTTTGGGGGTCTGCACTCGTTTACAACCTAGAGTTTAGAAGCGGCAAAAAACTGGGACAACGGGCAGAATTCGACGAAACAATGTGCTCGTTTTGTCCAATTATTCTTGTTGTCCCTGTTTTTTGGTGCTTTTCGAATCTAAGGTCTACCAGCTTGCCCAATTATAAATTCTCATTTACAAATTTAAGGCAATAGGTAAGTTTTGGTAACATAGAAGATAATTGCACTCTTCGATAATAAAAAGCCTCTGTCTGACCAAGCGTGCATCCCTTCTTTATGACTCGTTTATATCCAAGTGTAACCGTAAACAAAAAAGAAAAAGCTTTATGTCATTCTTGACTGTTGGTGTGTGGAAGTCACCTTTGCTTCGATGTCGTCTTGGACTCGGGAAAATAAGATACCATACTCGGGTAATTAATGATCATACAGAATTTCTTTTGAGATGGGCCTTACGAGAAGGAGCGCTTCCGCTTTATTCGTTGAATAACGCTAGCTGGCACGCCGTGTTTCTTCAAACAGGATTGCTGCTGGGACTGCCCATGGCTTCAGCGTCCTGGACTATGTACAGAAGAAGGCGGTGGCGTCCAAGTGCACGCTGAATCCCAACGGTAGGTGCGGGCAGACGCCATATTTTACGGATCCGTAATATAAAGAGCTCAAATTTTTTACTTTTTTTTTTGTACGGGGGTTGCTTATACTTCCAGTTCACTCTCATCAGACCGTTAGCTCCTCACACTATCTCGTTACAGTCAACGCTCGGAATGTGCATGCCTACGAAATTGACCAGGGCGCGACGTCACTGTCGAGGTTAGATTTCAGGCGTGAACACTAAAACCCTAAGAGCTGACCCTATGAATACTACGCATTTAGAGAGGGCTCGGCCGTTTTGTTTTTCCTTACTGGCGAGGCGATTGATCTTGACATCTCGCGTCCTGGCTCATGCGCAGACCTGGCGGCTTCAGGGGACATGATGTCTCGCCGCAAGTCGTTCAAGAAATCCTTGCGGGAGTCCTTCCGCCGGCTGCGCAAGGGCCGCTCTCAGAGGGGCCGCAAGGACACCAAGGCCGTCGTCAAGTCCCCGGAAAACAGGAGGCCCAGGTGAGGGGGGGCGGCCCTCTTTGGGGTCCGAAATCTGCCATCATTTGGCTGACCCGATAAGTGTTCTCGATCAAACACGATTAATATTTTGTATGACAGAGACCGTTAAATGGCTTCAAATTTCTTCTGCAATCCTGCTAGCAGACATTTGCTGCTGCTATTCCATACTTTTTAACGCGTAATGCGTTTTACGCGTTGTTTTCCATGAGAAAATTGTCACGAACGAGCGTCGTAGCAAACGTCGTAACGAGCATCATAGCGAACGTCATGAACAAGTGACGCACTGGGAGCGTTACAGACAATAAGGTTATATATAACAACTATAAAAGTTCGAGCCCTGGCAGGGTTCGATTTTGGGTAGGTGCAGTGGCATCCGGATACTATTAGCTCTGAGAAGACGGAGTGGCGCCACCTGACGGCTCCTCATCGTGACGTAGTGGCCAGGATCACGGAAACGTGTCTACACTTCATTCGTAGCATGTAGGTTGAGGTGTGATCACAATTCACGTTTGATTTGCTATTTTGAAAGAGAGTTTACAGTTGCTTTTACCCTAATCTTTTACTACTCGTCAAAACTAAACTTGAGCAGCGTGACAGCAGTGGCGTCTCGGCTTACGGAACAGGATCCAGCTTCATGTTATTAAACTGACCACGACCAAGTCAGCTGCGATCGTGGCTTCGGAGGATAAGCGACCAAACAGGTAGATTTTGGGACGGCATGGTTCCCGGGACTCATTTCCTTTTTTTCCAGTCTGTCAGAAACAAACGAAGCAAATGGAAATCAATTGCGAGGATGGCCGAGCAGGCGTCAAACTTGGCATTTCAATCTCAGTTTTTTTTTTTTTTTTTTTTTTTTTTTGCAGTTTGCTCGCGCGGCTTTGAGGCGACCTTTTTCCCGGGAAAGCTAATCGAGCGTTGAAATACCACGCATGCGGGGCATCACTGTGGCATTACTTTCCGTGGTACCTTTTTGGACTCAATATTTATACGTGCAGCAAAGGAAGTGTTAGTCCGCTATTGCGTAACTAGCGTAGCTACCAACACATGTTTCAGCTCAATCCGTGGTAATGTTTGTACCACCGTTACCTCAGAATAAGTGGAACATACTTGAAAAAATAAAGTGTATGTACCACATGATGCGAGGGTAATCCATACCATGTTTTTTTTTGAGCTGTACGTCAAAGAAAGCTGCAAATAGAATCGTCGAGTGTTGCTGTGACGAGAGCGTCTGCTGCCGCCCCACAACACTTTGCAAATAACTAGGGGACAATGAAAAGATAAGAATCACCTTTAAACCGGAAAATCTAAGCCAAGATTTGGAGCTCCTCTTGCCTGTTGGGTACGGTTGCGGCTGCCGAAGTTGGTGGGATCGTTGTTTTTGCTTCCGGAGTTCATGCTTCACCGAGCATTGTAGCTTCGAGTACATATTTCTTTCCTTTGCCGCTTGAATTCGGGAAGCGCGAGAAGAACATGCAGAAGTATGACCGTTGGTCCCCACGGCGATGTATTCAAGAAGTGTTGGCGGCCGTGAAGCTATCATAGGACTCAATCATGATCTACCCATAACTTCTAATCGTTTCACTTGGCGAATTCGGATTTCTTGTTAGGTTTCATCGTATGCATGTTTTGCGTCGTAGCAAGAACAAAATATACTTAGCGAAGAGTTTCTGCTGCTACGTATTAAATCACACTGCCAAAGCAAGGCAAAGCGAAGGAAATACCTGACCCTGTCACATAATCGTTGTCTCTACGTCACCGTCGAGCGATTGGAGCTCTCTAGTCAGTCCCGCTCAAGGCTAATAGCCACTGAGCTACTAGCACAGCTTGCCTGGCAGGCTAAATTTTTTATTCAAATGCAATGCAAGAATGCACGTCGGCAGAGGAATCTCCTTCACAATTTGAAAGCTGCAACGGAGGCGATCCCCTCTTCTCGTCACGAGAGTCCCGCTGTAAACGTTTGGCGTCTGCTCGAGCCAGTCGAGCGGTAATTGCGCGTGCTCCGATACACACAGTCTTTCGGCGTGCTATAAAGAAGGTTCCTTGCTCGTCGGTTGAACGCCAGGAGGGGTGAGGAGGAGAGCGCGGCTGCTGCAGCGGCCAGCCCGGCGTCGCGCCACAACGAGTCCGGAGTGGACCCGGGGTCCCCGCTGTCCGAGGCGAAGCCTGTGGAACGTCAGGTGGAGGCGCGTTCATCGGACGACGCCCTGGCCTCCATGGTGCGCTGCCTCTGCTTCACCAACAGCTTCATCCTGCACAGTGAGTACCACTCTCTTCCTTGCGCCGGGACTCGGGTCCTTGAGGAACCCGTGGAAGCATTGCTTTAGGATATTTGAGCCATCTATTGACGCGCAACTACAAACTAAACGGTCTCTGGTACCTAGGTTACTGCAGGGGTGGAACGGCTGTGCCATTTGCGCCATTTGTGCCATTTTGTGCCAGACGCATTTGTCTGCCGTCCTGCGCCATATTGCAGAAACTGCGCAACAGCCGATACCTCGTATTAGTTTATTCATTCTGTTAGTCTTTTGCACCGTGTGAATGCACCAAATCGCAAAACGTGCGCCAAAAAATTATATATTGTCTTGTTTTCGGTTTTTGTCGACCGGATTGGCAACAATGAGCTTTTTTAGCTTGATTGACCTTGCAATCCTTTGTTCTGTTTATTTTCCCTGTTTATCCCGAGAGAGAGGCACGTGAAAAAAAACTCTCAGGTCGGATTCCGAGTGCTACACCACCTACGACTTGATAGTTATTCTTGAAGACTTCAGCCATAAGCGGTTAAGCAAGTCAGCCGAGGTGAGATCGAGTCGTTAAGCGTCAGATTGCCTGAGGCTCTGCGTCTCGGGGTTTGGACGTCAGCCAAGTGAAAACAAATGAGCAAAAGATTCCTTTGAGTACTCCTTCGTCAGAAATTGGAACCGCATTTCCCCAAGATAAGTCGTGATTTGATAGAACTGAAACGTGGTCCGATCTGAAACCATGCTGGCCGGCAGCTCTCATGCGAGCGGTAGATCTGCTCGGCGTGCCTCGCTGCTGCTTATTGCTTCGAATACGGTAATTGCACAATAGGATAAACTCAACATTTTTTGCCCTGTTCCTCCTATCAACTGCTGGTCCGTTGCTTACGCACGTCATGTGGTTTGCACTTATAATTACTATGTTGAGCACGTGTGGGTTGTGCGATAAGCAGTGCTGGTTTGCATTTTGAGCATCTGAAAGCCACTCAGAGAATATCAAGTACTTTATCTTCAGAAACATATAGTGCTTGCTTTTTGGTTCTCATTAAGGCTCACAAAGTTTCAAGTTTTAGCACCTGTTACACTGTTATCCCATTTACTTATAGCCGTAACAGGTCAAGAACGAAGTGGAAACTCCTCCCACCTCTTTCCACTTCAATAGAGCGAACGCTGGAGAGGAGGCGACCTCCTCTCCACCATTTGCTCCGCTGAATCCAAGACACAAGCTGAAGCGCAATGAAAACTGATCTAAGCTGCTCCTAGCCTGCTCCAGAATGTAGTTTTAGCTGCTCCCAACCTGCTCGGAAACAGCTGTTTCAGCTGCTCCCGTGCCTGCTCCCAAGTATGTTTCATGAGTTCTAGCCCTGTATTGTTTGGTGAGCCTGCAGGTTCTAACACTGCCTTGCCTTATGAATGCCGACACCAGAAGGGGACCTCGGTTGCTGGTCAAAAGAGGCAAGGCTTCTCTGAGATCAAAGAATTAGAAAACCTGTGCTTTAAAGAGGGGGTGTCCAAGCCCTGGCCTGTAAACCAGATCAGGCCCGTGACCGGCCGCAGTTCTTTCAATGTAGCCCGACCTGCGGACCGCTTCCGACAGACCAGCAGCTACCAACGCAGAAAGTTGCGCGCCTAAAATGACGGTGGCACGCCACTCTCCAAATGTGTGAAAGAAGATACCAGAAAGTACGAGAGACTGCATCGTAACGGGCTTCTCTTGCCACTGTCATCACTGGTATCTTATCGTTCTTGGTGGCTTTATGTCTGTTTAACTGTTAAAATTCCTTTGCATTCTATTATACATTGTGCGTGCATTAGTTGTTAGTCTTTTGCACCGTGTGAATGTGCCAAACGTTCCACACGCTTTGGTTTATGCTTGGCGAGCTTTTGTGGTCACCATTGTTGTGTAACATCATAATTAGCTGAATATGAAATTTCGAATTAAAATATATGTATTCATCAAACTTAATTTTTTTTTTTTTTTTAGTATTTACTCTAACATTAATACCTGCGTTTAAATTCTTACCTAGGGTTATTCATTTAGTTCCTTTTTCTTCCTGGTCCTTGAGACTGCGACAGATGTCTAATTGGACCCCTTAGTCAAATATTTTAGAGACCCCTGCTCTGATGGTTTATGTGCAGAAAAATTAAAAAAGTAAAAGATGTGTACAAGTCCGGAAACGTATGGAGAATGTGTTTGTATTTACCCCCCCCTCCCCCGCCCCCCCTCCTTTGACTTGGTCTTGGTCGCATCTTTTAGGGGCGAAGCTCCTTAGGGTCTAGCCTTGTCCGTGCTCACATCGATTGCCATCCCATCTGTCTTAAAAAAATTAAAAATGTTTGCGCAGTCGACAGAATTCAAACCTGTACGGGGAGACCCCAGTGGATTTCTAGTCCATCGCCTTAACCGCTCGGCCACGACTGCGGGACGAGTAGGGGACTCTGGGATGTGTCAGCAACTCAAAAGCTGGGGGTGTCATGGATGAAACGTTGCATGTAGCCGCTCAACGTCTATACAGGAGAGGGCTCTGCATTCAAATCCGTATATAATCGCGTTAAACTTTGCATGCATTGGCTCAATATTTATAGACGAGAGGGCGCTGCGGTCCAATGCATTCACCACGTGGAGATGCAGTCATTTTTAGGGGCGAAGCTCCTTAGGGTCTAGCCTTGTTCATCCGTCCGGCGTCTGTGCTCACATCGATTGCACTGCCTCCGGGATCGGCCCACTTAAAAAAAATATGTACGCCTGCACGGGGGTTCGAACTCAGGATCGCCTGCTTACAAGGCAGACGTCTTAACCACTACGCTACACTCCAACATTGCACATAGCCGCTCAATGTCTATGCAGGAGAGGGCGCTGCGGTCAAATATGTATGTAATCGCGTTAAACTTTGCATGCATTGGCTCAACGTTTATAGACGAGAGGGCGGTGCGGTCAAATTCTCAACTGCATGTATAACCATCATCCATACCACATAGTCTCTTTCTGACATGGACCGTTGACTTAAGGGAACAGGGTGGGGCAAAATTTTGAAAAAAATTGAGTTTTTGTTTTTTAGGGATTTGGATTTCCCAGTCTTTCCTGAACAATGCTGACTGCGTAATTTGAGCGTGCGCGATTTATCTACAGGAAAAATGACCTTTTCCGAAACCTAGGTGGTGACCGACCACGCCCCCTTTTACACCTATGCACGATCTGTATCTCTCCTAGGTTGTAAAAAAAACCGTAAAAAAAACGCAGATTTTCACTAGGTTTAGCGGAATGTTTATTGCTCGTCCAGCAACAGCAAAAAGCTGTCTGGCTTTTAATTTTTAGCCCCATAAATCCTCAGACACTGCCGGTGTCAGTCGCGACGCGCATACTTTTGCTTCTGCTTCGGCATGCTTCCACGGGCAAAGTAATTTATTGTTTACTTTAACACTAGGTTTGGAATGTTAAAAATGACGAAGACGAAGAAGATATTTTAAAAGCATCGCTTCCAGAGTAGTCGGCATAGGTCAGTTTCTTATGCCGCCGAGTCCCCGCAACGCATTCTGATGCCTGACGCAGCGGCTACCACGTGTGCGACTTCTTCGAAGCTGTCGCACTCGGCAGCACGCTTTGAAGAGCTCAAGGCAAGTGTTAGTGACTGCAACTGTGCACTGATTTGCAACGACCTTCTGTCCTGTACCGTCGCCGAAAGCTGGGTGTGTAAAGTGTCTGGTGGGGACTTGCAGCTGGTTAAAAAAGCAGCACTAAGAGCTGGTGTTGCCTGCACCTACTTTCTGAACTGTGAAAAGTGCTGGTGGACACACTGATTAGAGAGACGTCAAAACGGACAACTTCGAACCTCTACTTGGCGTTTTACCAGGATGATTCATGGTGCAGTGGTTGCGGGACGTTGACCGGCGACGACTTTACTTGGCAGACAGGGCTACACAGCTCGTCACAAAAGAGGCCCAAAAAGCAAGACAGCAAACAAAGTAACTAAATATTGACTATGGAGGTGACAACCTGGCTGGTGGCTACCGAACGGATACATCAGCATGCATTTCTAGAGTGCAAGTTTATTATAAAGTGCCTTTTTTCACTTCAAAGTCGATTATCTCAAAACATCATTTTTTTGCGACGTTTGACCCTTTTTCTCCGAAACCATAAAAACTAGAAGTATCATTTTTTTCCACTAACAAGACAACACAAGGGGGAGTCTACTGAACTAGAATTATGGAAATTAATCAAGGCAATTTTGTTTGACAAGCTGTTTATTGTCTATTTTGGCATTAAAATTAGAAGGGTCCAGTAAAAACAAAAGCAAAAAAGAACTAAAATATATATAACAATAAATCTAGTTCAGTAAAGACAACACAAAAAGCTAAATACAATGATACCAACATGAATCCTCTAACCCTAGCAGATCCTGAGAAAAAGGGTCACATACATAGGCTGAAACACATGGGAAGAATAGGGCCTACCCTGTTCCCTTAAAGGACACATGCAAAGGAAAAAATCATTTTTTTAAAACGGCTTAGATGGAAAAAGGACGCCATAAAACGATTTTACAACGAAGAAAAAAATTTTTTAGAGCTATATTTACGGCGCAAAACGAATTTGTAGTTGGCGCCCGCGGGCACCGCGGAAAAGTGGTCTGTATTTATCACGTGACTGGTCTTTATTTATCACGTGGTGCTTGCGTTCTTTCGGAAGCTTCCTATGGCCTCTAAAAGTAACTTGTTCATCTTTGTTTGAAGTATAACAAAAAACTAAGATGTAAAAGTAACTTTTAGAGCCCCAAAGGAAACTCCTGAAAAAGCGCAAGCAGACGTGATAGACCTGTGCGCCGGCCAGACGACGGCGGCGGCGCCCCGAAGCAGACGAACTTGTGCGGCGACGGCGGCGTGGAGAAACGCGTTGAAGCGGCGTTCGCACAACGCTCAGCGTGCGGCGGCGACGCAGCGCGGCGGCGCGCGGGCCTACCACGTGACCAGCGGCGGCTCCCGCGAGCGCCAACTACAAATTCGTATAGCGCCGTAAATATAGCTCTAAAAATTTTGTTTCTTCGTTGTAAAATCGTTTTATGACATCCTTTTTCCATCTAAGCTGTCTAAAAAAAATGTTTTTTTCCTTTGCATGTGTCCTTTAAGCGGTGGAGATGCATTCCCACGGCTTCTAGCTGATCCAAGCTGATCCGCTAGAAGAACCGCTAGCTCTGCATTTAACCGACCATAAAGCAGTAATAACGAAGTCGATACACAACCCGGAGCTCAGAACTACCTATGAGCAATAAAAACAAATCAGCACTACCTATGAACAATTAAATCAGTATCATCAGCACCACCAGAGCTTCGCCCCAATCAACATCATTCACCATGTGGAGATGTGGCCTCTTTTTTTTTTTCTTCCTTTCTTCCTCTTATATGCAATCGCCAGCTTTCTTGCTTCCCTAGCGTCCCCCAGCATCACTTTTTTTCCTAACGAAGAGAACATAGCGTAGTAAGAAACATGCTTTCACAGAACAAGCACTCGTGCTGTGTGATGATCGGCGGTGTTCATCGCGCGTGTGGAAGCAACGGACCTTGCTATAGTCAAACATTCTTTCGTGAGCTTTTTTTGCATAAAAGAATGTAACTAATACGAGTTTTGAGTTTAATGTATCTCTTGCGCAGCGACGCCGGATATGTACAAAAAAAAAGGTGTTTTGTTTAGCTTTTTCTTTTTCTGCTTGCCTCTCGAGACATGGCCCAGCCTACTTTTTTTTACAAATCTCAGGTGGCAGGGGGGTGGGTGATGACTTGGGATATTATGGTAGTAGTTTTGATGACAGTCCTTCAATAAAGAAAAAACTGAGAAAACTGCCAACGACTTTTCATGCTAGCGGTGTTGAGTGTACTTGAATTTCTGGTCTGGAAACTATTGGCTTTGTATGTGCAAGTAATTCCTAGGTCCCCTCTTTTCTGCGGTTCGCCAATAACTTTTTTCATTTGTCGTCGCTTCTTCCAGTACACATCAAGAACTCTAGTTTCACAGAGAAGGAAAAGGAGGGAATGAGCACTGATACTCACTGTGGCTGCCCTCATTCTTCCCCAGGTGTGAATACCACCCCGACGCTGTGGGCGGGTACCAATGCGGGCGCCATCTTCGTCTACACCCTCGCCTTCCCCGCCGGCGACAAGCGGGAAACGGACGCTGTCCATTGTGCGCTGGGTGAGTAGATTTTCTCAACCGACAACGGGCGGTTGAGAAAACGCTCCGTATGCGTCCAGCATCCGGCCATTGTTGGCACAAGCGCGCCAGGAGCGACTCTTGGGACGCCCCATTCTTTTATTGTGAAATTTCGTTGGGCTAGATTGTACTAGCTCGTAGCCGTATATGGGGAGAGTTTGGCCAGTCAGTGATATGCCGCCGTAACGCCTCCTTCCCAAGTGAGCCAATCGGCCTGCGGCGCAGAGTGAGAGGCGCGAGCTAATGCGCATCAACTTTCGGCTGCTCCCAGCTGAGCGGGGAGGGCTGCCATTCTCATTCATTCGCCCCATGGAATGCATGGGATCGACATCCGAATTTCGCTTCTTTCCCTTTATTTCGTAAGCTCTGGCAAGGAAAGGATGGTGTTTTTTTATCAGTGGGTCTAAGGGGAGGCACAGCCTAGGAATCGCGATTTTTTTCGAAAAAGTCACATTTTTGGAAAATAGGCTGACCAGCTTTTACAACTCATAAAGAATGCTGTCCAAAAATTTTATTCCTGTAAGTAAAGTATTTACTCCGAAATAAATTATTTTTGAAGTGCTGGCGGCCGCACGTGCGCGCCAACGACGCAGCCGATTACGAAAATGTGCCATTTTCAAAGCGCGCTCCCTCCGCGTTTCTTAGGACTAGCTTGGACAGGCCCCCCTTGTTGGAATGAGCGTCTCGCCCTCTTTCGTTCTGTTCGCAGTATTGTTCGCAATATCGTGCTCACAGACCGTAAAACCCCGTAGAAAACATAGCTGTGCACGCTCTTATTGGTCAAGCTGGCAAAACAAGAGCTCTGATTCGCTAGGATGAGCCACGTGACGTGGCTCGTCCTTGCGAATCGGGAAGCTCTGTTGGAAATGGGCATACAGCCAGGGAGCTACCAAGCGTCATACGGAGAGAGGGCCACCAAGATGAAGGTTGTGAAGGCCCAAGTGAAAGCGCTCGAGTCCTCCAAGATGTCCCACAAAAAAAGGAAGGTGGAAGCTGTGGCCAAGGCACAGAGGGACCGTGCAGAGGAAGGAGTGACATATGCCCCTGGAGCATTTTAGATGAAATGGCAAGCCCCATCTAAACTAAAACGCTGTTCGAACTTTCAAACCCGTTTTTCTCAGCTTCATGTTTTCACCATTTTTTCACAGCTTTAAAACTATTGTTTGATGAGTTAAGCGCCCCCAAGTCTAATGTATGCCTTTTTTGGCATGAAATTTACTGGAGAACTCGGCTATGGGCTTACTTTTTGCAAATTGTTATTTCTTCACACAAAAATGTTGACGTTTGTGAAACGAGAAAAAAATTAAAAATTCATACCATTATTGAAAGTTAATTTTTACGTGAAATATGGCCTTAAAAATTATTTCAAGCCTACTACCGATTAGTTTAGTCATTCAGCGTTATATCCCAACAAAGAAATTGTGCCTTTTTATTCATATTTTGAAACAATAGTTTTTTTCCTTTGGCACTGTTACATGTACATTTTTTTCAACGAATAAGGCTGTAACTTGTCAAAAAATAAACCTTTTCGGTTGAAAGTTGGTGTAGCCTCCTAAGTTTTGACGTTTAACATACCCTAAAAATTTCATTGACCTGGCACAAATACTTAAAAAGTAGACCCTCCAAGGGAGTGCCTCCCCTTAAAAAGCTAATGAATCAAGTTTTTTTCGGCGTTTGACCACAAACTTTTATTTGGGCGAAAAAGATGTCGACCTGTAGCAGATGGCGCATGGCCTCGGCAGTGCTCTGCGCCTAAAGCGGGTTGCGTCAAAATGGCAGTCGTTTTTTCTTTGCTCCCTCTTTCCTCCGCTTTTCTCCTCTCCAGCGCCTTTGTCGCCACACCTACTGGCCAGACTCCAAGTGTACGGCTGTGGGCCACCTTTCCTTATATTCTCAAATTTGGTGTTTGTGTGCAACAGCTGTTGGATCGTCTTCAGTGAGACTTTGTACCAGAAGTTAATCACCGACAAGATTAGAACAAGAGGCAGGCCTTTCGGTTTCTCGTCTCTCGAGCCTCAAGCCTGCACGCACACCCAAGGCACTAGAGAAGCCAATGAGCTTGTTCCGGAGGCTGAACTTTGGAAAGAAGCGCCGCTCCATTTTTTATTCCGTCGGTCACTATGGGGGTGTACAAATGGCAGCTCGAATTGAATGGCACTGCATCGTCATTTGTAGCTTTCACAGTGCTGGGGAGACGCACCACGTACCGGCTCTTTCTGCGGCGTTGAAGCTAAGGACGATGCTGCGCCACTCGATTCGTAGTAGTGCGTACACGGCCCCCACCGGTCTCTTAGAAAAGGTGAGCTCTCGTTCCACGCTTGACGAGGGTTAGGCTACAGAGAAGGGTCAGGGAAGGGGTAGTGCTTGAGGCCGTGTCTTGGCCTCCCTCCTAGGCAAGGAGATCCACCTGAAGCATAAGGCGCCTGTGATAGCCATCCACATCATCGACGGGCGTGGCTACCCGATCTCGGACGCCTTCGAAGAAGAGCCTAAGGGTCTCGTGCCTCCGCAGAGGGTGCTCATCTGCTCCGAAGAGCAGCTCAAGGTGGGCTCTCTCTCTCTCTCGTCTCGCTGCTCTTCTGATGTGGAGTGAGGGTGCTGTGTTTGTTTAGTTGTCTGTTTGGCTGTCTTTAGTGAATATTTATACTGGAAGCTGTACTCCCTAACAAGATTGGAACACCGAGAAAGTAATTTTAATCTTGACGAATTTACCTTTCGCTAATTACCCAAGCACCCAAGAGAATGCCGGGGGCGTAGGTAGATGCGCTTCCCTTCCCCATATAAAATATCCAAACTAAACCAGAATGAGGTGTTGAGGAATCCCTGTGCAAAGTGCCATTTGCTTTAGATTTTTGCTTCAAACAGTTAACTGCTGTAGACGGCAGCATGCGACGCCTGTACTTATGTTCCCAGCAGTCTCTCTGATGCTCGGGTAATTGGGCGGAAATCTATTGGAGCGTGCCGTCTTTCTCCTCTTCTTGTCACATCACTAGCACGCTCCAGTGCTATTACGGCACAGAGAAACAGTTTTCTAGCAAGTATTTCACATGTCAATCGTCTGTCCAACCAATCGGAGCTGAGCAACGGTGCTTGAGTGGCTAAGCACCTTTCATTATGGACAGGGGCAAAGTCTAGAGCAGGGCTACCCCTACCTAACTTGTATCTGGCAACATAAATATTGCTAAAAGAAGGTAATTTTTTTCATAAACAATATTAAAAAAAGCATCTAAGACCTTTAGAGAAAAATCTTGTTTTTATAGTGAGGCTCTTATATGCTAGGGTCTGGGAAAAAATGTGTCCTCACATGTCGGAAGAAGACCTTCCATTGGTTGTGGCAAGTGTGAATAAATAAAAACAAAAAGAGGGGTCAAGTATGAATAAATAAAAGCGATGAGGGGTCAAGTATGAATAAATGAAAACAAAGAGGTGGCAACCAGCCTAAGTCAGCCTTCCTTGGCATTATTAGATAGTGAGGTCCTGATCCCTTGTTATCGTCTCTAGGCATCGTCCTTGAGGTCGTACCAGGTATCGTCTTCGAGGTCGTCCCAGAAGTCGTCCTTGAGGTTGTCCTAGACGTCATCCTCGAGGTCGTCCTAGACGTCATCCTCGAGGTCGTCCTAGAAGTTGTCCGAGGTCATCCTAGGCGTCGTCCTTGAGTTTGTCCTAGAAGTCGTCCTTAAGGTCGTCCTAGATGTCGTCCTTGAGGTTGTCCTAGATGTCGTCCTCTAGGCATTGTCTTGGACGTGAAGATAACAGCTTCGCTGCTCCTCCATCTTCAAGTGAAGTGGAAGGGCTCTACAATTTTTTAATTTTCGTGTCCCTTCGTGCGAAGCGGCGAAGGTGACTCAGAACTGAGTGCACATGTGGTGACACCAAAACCTCGGATATTTACAAGCCAAGCTTGGAATTGCATTTTTTTTTTCAAAATCCACTTATAAAACACTCGTCTTCATGACCTGTCGTTCACAATCAACCGTGTAGAAATGAATGGCGTTTTCCTTTTTCTGTACTGTAGCGCAAGAGGTTGCAATGTGTTATTCTATCGCATTATACAGTCGAATCTTGTTAATTCAAACTCGAGGGGGACCGAAAATTTGTTTGAATAAAGGAAAGTTTGAATTACCAGGAGTTCCCTCCCATAGAGATGCATAGGATGGGACCTGCATGTTAGTTTGAATTATCCGCAAGTTTGAATTAAGAGAGTTTGAATTAATGAGAGTCGACTGTATAAACTAGTTCAAACAAACAAACAAACAAAGCAAAAAGTGAAAGCCGTTTACCACTCCCTGTAACGCCGAATTGGAGCGCAGCTCTTGAGGAGGAGGAGGGGAGGGTACTGAGGGCCACGTGTTCTCGGGGGGGGGGGGGGGGGGGGGGGGGGGGTCACGTGACCTCGGGGGTCACGTGCCCCCTCAGAGGTCACGTGACCCCTCAGAGGTCACGTGACCTCGGGAGGGGGTCACGTGACTCCCCAGGTCACGTGACCCCCGGGTCACGTGACCAAAAATTTTCCGCTAGATTTAGCGGGGAAATTTTTTCCGCTAGATTTAGCGGGGAAAGTTTTCCGCTAGATTTAGCGGGGAAATTTTTTCCGCTAGATTTAGCGGGGAAATTTTTTCCGCTAGATTTAGCGGGGAAATTTTCCCGCTAGATTTAGCGGGGAAATTTTTTCCGCTAGATTTAGCGGGGAAAGTTTTCCGCTAGATTTAGCGGGGAAATTTTTTCCGCTACATTTAGCGGGGAAATTTTTTCCGCCAGGATTTAGCGGGGAAAGTTTTCCGCTAGATTTAGCGGGAAAATTTTTTCCGCTAGATTTGACGGGGAAATTTTCCCGCTTGATTTAGCGGGGAAATTTTTCCGCTAGATTTAGCGGGGAAATTTTTTCCGCTAGATTTAGCGGGGAAAGTTTTCCGCTAGATTTAGCGGGAAAATTTTTTCCGCTAGATTTGACGGGGAAATTTTTCCGCTAGATTTAGCGGGGAAATTTTTTCCGCTAGATTTAGCGGGGAAATTTTTTCCGCTAGATTTAGCGGGGAAATTTTTCCGCTAGATTTAGCGGGGAAATTTTTTCCCCTAGATTTAGCGGGGAAATTTACCCATAATGCACCGCGCGGTTACGCCGACGGCGACGGCGACGCCGCTCAAGCCGGGAACGGGCCCCTAAGAGCTGCGCTCTAAAACCAGCACCCCACTTGAGGGGTGAAAGCCATCGAAGCGCGTCCCCCGAACGCCGTTTTCCCGCAGGTGTTCACCCTGCCGAGCCTGAAGCCCTTCGGCAAGTTGAAGCTGACGGCGCACGAGGGGGCCCGGCTGCGCAAGGCGGCGGTGGCCCGCTTCCCCAGCCGCAGCGACCCTGAGCGGGTGGAGTTCTGCCTGGCGGTGCTCACCAACCAGGGGGAGGTGGCGCTGCACGGCCTCCCAGACCTCCGGCGCCAGTTGGTGGACGCGTGCCTGCGCAGGGAGGACATCAAGTGGGTGCCCGCCCTGCGCGGCTCCACACGCTTGCGACCCTTTAGGACTGGGTTCCTTCAAACCTCTTAAAATCGCTCGTGGAGAGAGGACGCATCAAAACACTCGGGCACGCTGCTGAAGCCATCTATGTTGTGACCCTGGAACTGCACGTCGCTAGAGCGAAGGTTTTGCGGTAGTTGCAAGCTCAAATGCGCCAAAAAAAATGGGAAATGTATGAGAGCACTGGGGTTTCTGCGGCTACGGTTCTCTCGTCGTAAGAGGTTTTAAGAGGTTTCGAGGCACATGATTATGAGCAGTCACTCGTCTGCGAATTGTCCTTAAAAGGGCACTGAGAGGTCAAAATCTTTTTTTTTTTTTTAATTATCCGAAACAATTGAAAACGATGCCTGGACATTAATCTCAAAATTCAAAACTTTGGAACTAATTACAGTAGAACCCTGTTAATTTGAAGTCGGTCGGACGGTGAAAAATATATGAATTAAGCGGATTTCCAAATTATCCGAAAACGAAAGAAAACGGCAAACAATTGTGTGCGTAGCCTTGAATCTTGAAGGAAACATTTTATTCAAAATGAGTAGTCAAAACGAGAGAATCAAAACGAAAGAAGATCGCCCGAAGTAGTCGATATGGGACTGCCGCAGTCTGTAGTTAGCGGCGCCGAACGTCATATTTTCAAGAAGGCTAACTAGGCTTAGTTCGACGTGAGCGCGTTGGCGAAGGGGGCGACATCACAGAATCATCGCCGTTGCATTCCACAAAGCTGCGGACGACATTCAGCGGCTGTACAACTTCCTCTAGAACGAGGGTTCAAGGCGGCTCATCATTGTCGTCAACCTCTGCTGTTGCAATGTCGGTGATTTTTCTCTCAAGGTCTGCTGGCAGGTTTGCTCATTCTCTTTTATATTTAAGTAGTCTGGGAACCTCATGCTAACTGACTCACTGTCACTGTCCTTAATGCAAGAGCAAAGCTCCTCTCCCTCTTTGTCAATCCCAGGGACAACACTGGCAGTATCACTGGCAGTATCTGCGGTATCTTCCTGCTCCACGGTTGGTCGTTCCTTCGAGAATACAGCGTGTTCCAAACACCTCTTTATGACTTCTGCCTTCACCTGTTTCCATGCATACACGATCAGGCATATAGACGCTTTCAGCGAGTCAGTTACTCGAGCTGCCACCAGTCGGCGCGCCCTTCGGGCGCTTTCCGGGCCGCCATAGCCGACCTTCAGTTTCTCGCCGTTGCTCCGCGTTGTGTGCTGCACAGGCCACTACCGGAGCTTAGTTTACGTGTTCTTTTACGTTTCGCGTTGAAATCTTGGTTTTTCTTTAGGTCTTTTCGATATTTGGGACTTTCATTTAATCATTTGATATTTATATTTCGACATAGCTCTTGCATTTTCTTATTTATGGAATGGAATCGGACAGCGAATGGGTCAACGATACAAGATTACTAGGCTTCAATGACCGTGTAAGTTCATTCCATTCTTACATTTTTGTCACTAATAAAGGGCCGTAAACACTATTGCAACATATGTAAATTGAAACTGACGCAGTAAGGCTATCACAGTCGTGCTTCTCGCTGCATGAGCGCGCTCGTTTCCGTAAAGTCGACCCGCCATGTAAGCGATTTAGCGTGCGACGAGACAAGCGACGGAGATTTCTCACTGTTCCCGGTTTTGGAATTTCTACTGCTCGGTTTTGGAATTTCTACTAAACGTCGCTCACCGTCTTGGTGGCTTGCTCCGTCGCTTCCATGCGGTTTGCCTCGACGCGCGACTGACTGAGCGAGAGCGAAGCGGGTCGCCGTCGCTTATCTGGTCGCTCGCCAAATAGCTTACATGCGGTTTATACTCAAATAATTTCCATGCACACACCATTGAACCATTGGCGTCTCGATATTAAGTATAAACCGCATGCAAGCGATTCAACGAGCAACGAGACAAGCGACGGTGACCCGCTTCGCTGTCGCTCGGGCAGTCGGACGACGAGGCAAACCGCACGGAAGCGACGGGAGCAAGCGACCAAGACTGTGAGCGACGTTTTCTAGAAGAGTAACCCAAAAAACCGAGCGATGAAACAGGCGACAGTGAGAAATCTTCGTCGCTGACTCTCGTCGTTGTCACCATCGCTCGTCTCGTCGCACGCTAAATCGCTTACATGCGGGTCGGCTTTACGGAAACGAGCGCGCACATGCAGCGAGAAGCATGACTGGGTAGCCTTAGTGCGTCAGTTGAAATTTGCATATGTCGCAATGGTGTTGACTGCCCTTTATTAGCGAGAAAAACGTTAGAATGGGATGAACTTACATGGTCTCTGAAGCCATAATCTTGTATCGTCGATCCATTCGCTGTCCGATTCCATTTCGTAAATAAGAAAATACAAGAGCTATGTTGAAATATAGATATCAAATGATTAAATGAAAGCCCGAAATATCGAAATGACCTAAAGAAAACGTATGATTTCAACGCGGAACGTAAAAGAACGCGAAAACAAAGCTCCGGTAGTTGCCGGTGCAGCACACAACGCGGAGGAACGGCGAGAAACTGAAGGGCGGCTATGGCGGCAGGGTCACGTGACGTCAAGATGGCGGCGCCCATGAAATGTTGCCTGAAAGGGTCTATAGCCCCGAGAAGATAGATAGAATAGCCCTTGCCATTGTCGTAGCAGAGCAACATTCGCTTCAAAAGGTGGTGGTGATAGATCTTCCGCGTATGAAGAATAACACCTTGGCCCATTGGCTGCGAGATGAACGTTGTGGTTAGGTGGGAGGAAGACCGGCTTGGTCGCTTTGAGGTTCTGATTGCCACCATGGCCTGGACAGTTATCAACGACGAAAACAGCTTTTCGTCCTGCTGCCGCAAACTAGTGATTATGGAATTTCGCATACTCTTTGAAGATGGCTGCTGTGACCCAGGCCCTTTTGTTGTGTCGGTAGAAGAGTTCATTGGCTGGTGAAAGCCGACCGCTCTTGAAGCATCGTGGTTTCTCTGCTTTTCCTAGGACCAGGAGGGGCAGCTTGTGTTCGCCCATCATATTTGCACTGAACAAGACTGTGATCCTACCTTTTGGTTGTTTTTGTCCTTTGACGTCGGTGTCTTTCTCTGCAAATGTTGTTGTAGGAAGCATCTTGTAAAAAAGAGCTACCTCGTCCATATTGTAGACGTCCTCTGTGCTGTATTTGCTAAGAAGTGGAGCCAATGTGTGATTTATTCAATCTTCGACAACATTCTTGTCCGCGCTGCTGCTCTCACCACAGACCGTAAGGAATGTCAAGTTGTTCCTTTCCTTGAAGTGGGAAAACTATCCATTGCTGCACCTGAATTCTTCATGTCCAAGTTTCAAAGCTGAATCGTTGGCCTTCTCTCGCAAAATCGTGCCGTCAAAAGGAAGGTGTGTTGCGGTGGCATACTGGAGCCAGGTTATCGGGGCGGCTTAGACGTCTGGGTATGTGGGGAATCGAATCTGCGAACGCTTTGCAGAGTGAGTCTTGCTGTACGCCTCGATGATCCTTACTTGGTTCTTCAGAATGGTGCAAAGTGTGGAGATAGGCACCTGGTGCTTCTCCGCAAGCGTCGTTTTTGAGCACATCGAATTTGTTTCCTTCTTCAATGAGGCAAATCTGCTTCATGGTTAAAGATTTATATTTGGGCATCTTTGGCCTGTGCACCTTGTAACGGCCCGAACCACAGCGGCGCAGCGACAAGAATGACGATCACTGACACTGATCATCAATTCCACATGAGGCAAGAGCAACTAGGCTTACCCAACCTGCCCAAGGCCCAAAAAACAGAGGGACCACTAAGTGCATAGACCAGCAAACAGGAAACGAATAAGTGAAGGCACGCGCCACATTTGTTTTTTCTGCCGAATCTGGACGCCAAGTGGTGCCACCTAGCAATTAAAAATTGAACCTGGAAGACCAAATCGGCGAATTAACCGGCTAAGCATGCGCAGAGCGCTCATATTATCCGGCCATACCTTCATGAGAAGTCACTGGATCGTGGAAATTTTACGAATTATCCGGGATTTAAAATAAACTGAGTTCTTACTACTGAGGCTGTACTGTACTTGGAAAATATATGCAGCAATTGCCACTGTGCATGCGGCGATCTTGTCTGCCGCCTGTTATCTGTCCAGAGTGTCAGGATGTCATAGATGGCATCCGAGTCAGCTTAGCGGCGAGCAAGGGTCCTGTGACCCCGCTGATGATGTCACTTTTGCTAGTTTTTCTCTGCTTTTGTGGTTTCCCACCCTTGATGCGCCGCAACGGGTGGGTCTACGTTGAAATTTTAATTGGCTCTTACGACGCACCTACTAATAAGATTGAACGAAAACTTAAGGGCCGACGTACACTTCGTGCTCTCCACTTTTGCCCGCCTTCTGCTTTCTTATATCCTCGCCACATTTTACCTTGCCGCAACTTGACTCCTCTCGCAGCTTAGGAGTGGGGAGCACTAACAGGATTATCTTCCCTGCAGAAAACCGAGGTTGTACGTTGATCTTAAAGACATAACTATTAAGCTGTCTATATTACAGCTTTTACAGTTCATTTGAATTCAAGGATCTTTTGATTTTCTCTTTAAAACAGTGTAGAAACGACACGGGGATAATTGGAAGACGCACAGAAACAGCGCTGTGTTTGTATCTTTTCTGCACCTTTTTATTTATTCTCGTCAATTTAAAAACCTCAAATTTGTATGAGGTTTCCCTTGTCACTTGTTCCTATGTCCTGCTTGCGCTGTTTTATTTACGCTCGTTGCGCATAGACTCGTACGAGGTTTTCAAATTGATTCCTACCCGACTTTTGACTCTTCTCATACGTTGCTGTCGAGTTGCCAAGTTCTAATTTTATCATCTAACTTCTTTCGCGACTGGGGTCTTTGCAACGTGTGGATTTTCTTCCTCCTCAACACGCTTTTCCCTGCCTCCGCGTGTCCGCAGCGGGATCAGCAGCCTGGTGTTCACGAAGGACGGCGAGGGCTTCTACCTGAGCTCTCCGTGCGAGTTTGAGCGCTTCTCGCTGTCCGCCAAGCGCATGACGGCACCCCGCTGCCAGGTGGACCTGCCCGAGGGGGCCCGGCCCAAGCCCCCGCAGCCGCAGGAGCCCCAGGGAGGCCGGGAGGTCGAGGGGGCCGAGGCCGGGACCTCGGCTGACTCTCCCGCCCCCAAGGAGGTTGCCGAGGAGGGGGCCAAGGAGAGGGCGGTGACCCCCGCCAAGCTGGAGCTGGACAGGGCGGCCTCTCCCCCGCTTGCGTCCCCCAAGGAGGAGTCCTCGGAAGGGGGAGAGGACGACAAGGGGGGCCTGGACTCGCCACCGGACAGGTGAGGGGCTCACACTTTTGGTTGAGGAGGGTTCGCGCCGTAGTCGCTGACGTGATGGGATCGGGGGGAAGGAGGTTCGGTTGTCTTTAGAGATGCCGTGAGCCTCCTGAATTTCGAGTTTGACACGTGTGGAAAGTTTGGAACCTCGACAAGGTTCGAATTCGAAAAATTCACTTTTTTAAATCCACATTCAGGTTTGAATTAAAAAAAGTTAGAAAATGTCAACGTTTATAAAAGTTTGGGCTCGAACATTTAAAATTTTTTGACATTTACAAGATATAGACTTTTTTCTTCGAGTAACGGGTTAAGAAAGTTTGAAAGTTTCGATTTCAAGATCGAAGTCTGAATTTTATGGACAAAAATCAAATTCCAGAATTTCAAATTTGGTTTTTATGGATTCATCTAAACAAATATCGCGAAATGTGCTACAAATTTTACCGAAAACTTTACACATTTCTCTTACGCCTGTATTACCTGTTATTTGTGGCAACATAGGAAACAAGCTCCGAACTGGTTGAGTGGTATATAGAAAAGCCCTGAGGTGGTCAGGCGAACTTAATTGTTACCTCTTTGCAAACTAGTAGCAGTCCGATCAAATGTTGGCTGAATCCGATGCTGGCATGAGACAACTAAATATTAAGGACAACGCAGGCACATAAAATCATCTGGACTTCCCAAAAATATTTGAGTTGCTCCGAGCATTATTTTTGATGGGACGACCCGTCGGATGATCAAAACTCTGGATACAAGCACAGCACTCGACAGAAGTCAAGGTTGAGTAGAATGCAACCAGACTAAATCGGGGAGCCCGGCCCCCAAAAAGAGAGCTGATCAGGTCATGACCAGCGTTATTGGGCTATAACCACATTGTTGCCGCCTGGAACTTTTCTTTTTCATTAGTAAGCAGGTGCTTACTAATGATAACGAAGGAAGCGCCGACCCAGCGTTCGCTGTAGCGCATCAACGTTGCGCTCCGCGTGCATTTTTCACCGAGCAGTTGCTTACTCGAGGAAATCGGGGAAACTGAAGGACGCCCCCAGCATAGTGCCTCAGTTGAAATTCAAGCCTGCAGTTCAGGGATCTCTTGGCCCGCAGGTCACCTTGGGGCGACTTACGGAGTTGTGCACGGGAGAGGCTTGGTGCGGATGTTGAAAGAAAAAGGTATGGTCGAGATATGAGGCTGAGGCCACCCCAAAGAGATTATTCATCGCTTTAAAATGAGTTGTTTGTGGCACGATCAGCTAAGTAGAACTCCGGCGCAATTTCCACTGCACTTCACGCATTGATGCCATGAACCTATGGGAGTGAACTCTGTTCGAATTTTGTCAAACTTTTGTTTAGAAGTTCGAAGTTCATCAAACTTTGTAACTTGGCAGGCTCGAAAGTTAGAACATTCATAGAATTTATTGGCATATATGTTCGAAAGTTAGAAAATTGTCGAAATCCAAGGCGCAAAAAATCCAAAAGTTAAAAAACAATCAAATTTTTTGGTGCCAAAATTCAAAAGTTTGAAAATCTCGATAAATGTTTTATGCAATGAATACAACATTTCGAAACATTTTCGGACCTTTTTAACGCCTTGGTATGATCTTTGAACCTCAGGTTCGAAAAAAGTTTACGGCATCTAGCTTCCTACCTTCGACGACAATTCGGCTTTTCGCGAGCCTTGAGTGTGCGTGTGCAGCCGAAGCACTGTGGAAGGCAAGGAGGACGTGCCAGGGGCCGAGCGTCGGGAAGAAATGCCATGGCGTCCTCATCCTGTGGTCGAGTATATTACAAAAAAAAATAAATACAAATGGTCGGCACTGCTTATCATGAGAGCAAGAAAAACAACATATTTAACATAAACAAATTCCAAACAACGCAGCTTCCTCTGCACAGTTGATCAATGTGGGGTAGGTTATTCTAGTCACAAATTGTTGTATGGAAATACACGTAGCTACGTACGTGGAGGTGTATGCTCGGGAGCTTAAATTGGTGCTTGCGACGCGTGTCTGCCCGCAGTGGGATCAGCAGCCTGGTGATCACCAAGAACGAGTCCAACTTCACGACGACCACGAGCACGGTGGGGGACCTCAAGTCCCTGGACCTGGAGGAACTGCTGCCGGCCGACCACGAGGCCCTGGCCGACAAGCTGCTCACGGACTGCAAGATCGAGGTGGTGCGCGAGAAGCGCACGGTCGTGGTGGTGCGCGAGGAGACCCTCGTCAACGGGTGAGAAAGCCCCGATTGGCCAGCGTTATTGATACCACCCATGGTCTGTGACAGGTCAAGAGTGCAGGGGAAGCTCCTCCCACCTCTTTCCACTCTAGCAGAGGGAAGCTTCCTCTCCACTTCTCCAGTTCCGTGCGTGCCCTTTGTCGATGACATGGGGCATCTTGGTGGAGGTGGTGCATTTACATTTGGAGCGTGCCATATTTAGTCTGGCACGGAGAGAAACCGAGGGAGGAAAGACGACAAGAGCATGCGGCGACGTCGTATCGCCGATTGGAAGGATTAGCGGGTAGAGATGAAGGCAGCTAGCTTCCGCGTCTACCCGCTAATGCTTCCAATCAAAGCTCGGTGATCCGACGTCGCCGCACGCCCTCGTCTCCTCCTCTCCTTCTGTTTCTTTCTGCGTACTGTCGTGTCTCATTAATGCGTGCACCCCTGTTCCTCCCACGAATTGTTCATAATGCAAGTTGTTTATAGAAAAGGGACAAGCATGTTTGTATTTACCTCGTTTGTCTACGGGAATGTTTGTCTATCAGAGTATCTGTGTTAACGAGGTCCGTATTATAGACACTACTGTATAGGCCAACTCCGAACGTAGGTTGACCCCTATACTAAAGCATTCGCCGAAAGTAATGAAAAAGATGTTGGAATATAGGTCGACCTTGAGTTTTAATAATTGTTGAAAAGAACATTCTAACGAAGGTCTGTCACTCTAGCTAAAACTCATTCATTGACTGTGCTGGTTGCAAGTTCCTTCAAACTTCCAGAACGGGCAACTGCATGCCTTCACACTGTGGCACTTGCATTGCACCACTCACGTCAAACTTTTCCGCTTCGCACCGGTGCTCTTGCCGTTTCCCATCGCTGGTTTGCATTGGCGTGAGCAACTTGGGCTGCTCACGCCAATGCAATGCCAATGCACGCCAACAAACATCTCGATTGCTCAGTGGGCAAAGAAATTTTGTGCACTTTTGTAGTCAATTTTGTTTTTGTTACAAAGGCAAGTCGATCCATACTACTAAAGAACGACTGTAAAAGTAAGGTTGAGGTGTAGTCAAATAAATAAAGTACTTAGATTTGACTGAAAACCTTTTGTTTTTAGTGGAGAGGGACAAATACTTAGATGAAAAAATCCAGTGGAATTTTGAGATCAAATATGTGCTAGGGCTTATTTTGTTGTGTTAGTATTCCATGTTCTTTTGTTCTTGTAATACACCCTTGTGTAATGCCTTCAGGCCCCAAGGTGTATAATAAATAAATAAAGAACATTGCAGGGAGCAGGATGTGAACTAAGGATGTTTGCACTTGATGCCCGAAGTGGGAAACATGCACAAAGTCTGAGCGATGTTGCTGCGTCCTGATGCCTAACGACAGCATCTGTCATTACCATCTATGCGCAGCAACAGAATGAGGTATTGCACCGATCAGCTGAGCTGGATATTTTCCACGCACGTCTTGCGAGGAAGCAACATCGCTGGGTTTTTACGCGTGTGTCTTTCGCTTTAGGTGGCTTTGTGTAGTATTCAATACCTTTTCGAGCCTAGTTGGAGGTAAGCTTAGAGCTCTAGGGTTGTATCTCTAAGGCAGATTCTTAAAAAGCAGAAGCTTTTTAGGAATCTGCTTGTATGAGTAAAATTATATGTGTACAGATCACAGTATTTTAATATGTTCAAACACTTTGGGGGGGAGGAGGTGGAAATAATGTACCGTTACATGAAGAGCAAGTGGCCGTGCCCATACGAAAGCCCACAGTCAGCTTGTAAGAATTAACTACACAGAGCATCTAATATTGGCTGCTCCTCGGTGGTTGCATCATACTTTGGGTTTGATAGTTGTACACTCTTGTCTCATATACAAATAAGGTGGTGATGTAGCACAGACCACTTTATTATATTTGTAGAGGTGAGAACACAACTGTGAAAATGCAGTTGCATGCTCCTTTTTAATGCGAAGGCATTAACTGTCTCATGGAGTGAGCCGTGCCAAACATCACCTTAAATCCTTTCTCCAAGTGAGCCTAGACAACGACACCTAGTTTCCCCGATCCCAAAGGAGCGGAGTAAAGCTGATGGATTTTCGGCTTCATTCCCATTGGCTGACGCACGTTGACGAGGCTTTTATTGGCCGCTGCACGTCAGTTTCAACGACCGCTCACCCCAAGGCGCTGCATGTCCGTCAGCGCGCCGTTAACACGGAGTGTCCAAGGTTAGTGCGTCCAGGAGAACGCGCGCGCTGGCCGACGACGAAAAGTACGCAGCAGGCGAAATAAGGGAGCAGACGAGCGGCTCGCATGCATTCACATTCACAACCCTTAAGAAGTGCTTAGGTGATCCTTCAACCTTTTATCTTGCAAGTGCAGTTCAGTTGCTTTGCTACTGGTATTCTTGAGAGGTATACTCCGTTTCATGCTTAGAGTACGCCACAGTCAAAGCTACTGACTCGAGTGCATGGCTTCACCTATAGTAGCTGACTGTTCAAGAGTTTAGGGACAGCTTTTCCCACCCCATCCACTTTAGTAGAACAGACGCTGGGGAGGAGGTCGTCTCTTCTCCGGTGTTTGCTTTATTAAAGTGGAAAGAGGTAGGAGCAGTTTCTCCTGAACTTTTAACCTGTCACCAACTATACTGTCTTATATCCACAAGAGTGTGTGCAAATCAAACGTTAAATCGAGACGCCGGCACGAGCCAGCAGCTTCGGCAGCGTTGTACACCAAGTATGAAACGGAGCATAGATTTGTCGCTGTTAAAACAGCTTCAGTTTGATGTGTTCTTCAGAAGGGTCGAGCATCTAAACTGGAGGTTCTTTTGCTCACTTCAAGTTGGTTTGACTGGTGCTCAAGTTAAGATGGGTGTGAAAATAGACATCCATTGGGGTTGACTGCCGCCTTGAATTGTTAAGTGTGGAAGAGATGGAACTTGACACGCAGCTCTCTTTTTTGTCCCGTTTCCCCCGTTCCCAGCAGGAGTCCGACAGCAAATTAATCACGGCCCCGGACCTTAGCTTCACCACGCCTCCTGCTACTGCATTCACGACAGCATCTTTGTTTGCTCATGTCTGTACCTTCGTGTCGAGTTCCTAGCCGTCCCGCCTTTTTTTTTGTCACAGGAACAAATGCACCGTAGACACACGGGCACACGCACGAATCGAGACACACTTCACACGGACACATGTTGCACATGGGAAAACACTCAAGAAGCAGCTTTTCCCTTTGGAAAAAGGAACTGGTAGCCGGCACCTCTTTTTATTTTATTTTTTTTTTCTTCAACGGCACCGCGGCACACACGGATCACCCGCGGTACTGCCTCGATGGAAGCTTTGCTGTACGTTGCATTTTCGTCTGACTTCTTTTCTCTTCTGCCGTGTCGGCGTGCACATCTTTCCTATCTCGTTAAAGTAAGGACCAACAGGATTTTTTTTCCCCCACGTCAATCATCGGTGCAGCTCTTTTGTTTTTTCGTGTGTGTGCATGTTTTTCATTTCATAATCAAAGTGCCATTTTTCAGCCTTCCAAAAAAAGAAAAGGAAAAAAAACAACTTGTCAGCCGTTTTTACTGGGCTCTGGCTTCTCCGTGTAAGCAGCAATGTCGTCTGCGTTTTATATAACATATTTAAGCTTTTTTTTTCTCACGCTCTGTCTTGTCTCGCATTTTTATATGGCGGCTATTGCTGCACGCGAGTTCACTCTACTGATTCCTTCCATCGCGGAGTATCCACCGAAACATTAGGATTGGTGATGGTGTCTGGTATATTATGCCGAGGTGTTCTTTGTACGTTTTTTCTATTGCCTTGTACCTTTTCTGAACATTTTTTTTATGGGCTGATTTGGAAATAAAATGTTTAGAAATGGCACGGTGTGTTTTGTTTTGAGTACTGCTCTGAAATGTGCACACGACGCTTATTTCTGCGATTTGAATCTGCCGTGTATCGTGTGCTCTTCTCGCTGCTTAATACGGTGCCTGTGTTGCCTCTGTTTTTGCATTGGTGTACACAACGCCCGTGCGCTCGATGGGGCGAGTCTACGTGGACTGCTCTACATGCTACCTTGAGAAGCTTTGTAGGCCTAACGAGACTGATGCCGCTTCACGGGGTGCCAGCCAAAGCCTGAAGCTCGATGACGGGCCAAAGTTTGAGTTATCCAGAATTCAGGGTGACCTTATGTATGAGCTATGTATAATCATGTGCTATACTCTGTTCACACCTAAGCTGAGACTGCAGTGGAAGGTACGTCCTCTGACCAGTCATACGCCTCTCACCACATCATAAAGCTCCCAGTCGTACCCATGTGTGGAGAGCCAGGTCAGGTGATAAAGGCTGATTCACACGACGGACTGATCCGCTGGACGGATTGATCATGTGAAGACGTGTCCGTGGTTTGTCAGTCTCCGAAGCGCATCCACATGATGCCAGCGAGGACGGACCGAACCTGTTCGCCGCTCCACAGTGCCGCGAAACTCCAACATCGCACCGTGGCACCGTTGTCCAAGAGAGAAATCAATGTTTGCTATCATGATAAAGAATCGTATGCCGCTGTTACGTACAGATTGAGACAAAACATAGCGATAGGCTTTGCGCAGAGCGCCACTAGCTTTACTAACCCTAGGCATGACAGCGACAGGCATGGTCCTGCTTGAGAAGGGTTCGGCATAAAAGTGACGAAGTTCTGGGCTTGCGGAGGGTCGTTTGGAGGTAGATGCCTTCACGCACTCCGTGCTCGTGCACGACACTCGAGCATACCTGAGCCACAAGAAAGGTCTTGCTCGGTGAAACCCTGATTGGACGTGCAAGAATTATCGCGGCGTGCTAGCAATGTTTTGACTGGAGCTTCTTGACATGGACCCGGAGGACTATGGTAACCGTCGCATCAGCCGGACAAAGTTTCTTCAGTTTCACGTGTGGAACCAAGAATCTCTCAACAAAATGAACCTGCGAACGTGCAAAACATGACAATGTGCCATTTTTGTTTTAATCATCTGAAAAAACCAAACAAGAAAACATTGTACTAAACGCTTTTCAAGTCAATCTCGCCAAAAATCTGTGAGGGAAAAAATAGCTCAACTTTATCAGTCTGCGTGTCCGTGGGCGAGGCGCAGATCGCAGGAATCGGTGATGTGACGGTCACGGTGGTACACGGTCTTCGGATGAAAATCGCGCATTCGGTCCGCCGTGTGAATCGGCTATAAGAGGGAGGTGACTGATTGGTCTGGCAGCCATTCCCGCTCAAAACAAATGCCAAATGTAGAAACGGTGTGCAATGGAGAAAATTGAAGCCTGGAATGTTTTTTTTTGAGTGCGCTACGATTTAGAACGCGTAAAACGTGCAATGGACCTCTTGGCGAATATGTGCTGCCACCTAGACACGCGACTGGGGTCGAGGCTAAGTGGCGAGAAAACAACGCGCGCGCGAGGCCTCTCCCACCCGTTGCACTCCCAAAACGTCAGCTACATCCTGTTCACCCATTGAGACGCTGTGACCTAAATACGGCTCCCCCAAACTCGCCTTTGTCCCCATCGTGCGTAATCTTCCGCCCCGAAGTCGACACAACGAAACCATCTTCCCTCTCTGCTCGGCCAGAAGGAAGAAAGAGAGGGTACTGGAACCAGTTGCTCTCGAACCGATGTTTCTGCAAAAGGTCCATTTAGGGATCATCCGCTCCCTTTCATGTTATATGTCAACGTGGAATGCTGCTACAGAATGGAGTGCGTCGAGTCCAAAGCCGGCATACTAATTAACAGGCACAACATTTTTAGGGGCAAAGCTCCTTGGGGTCTAGCCTTGTCCGTCCGGCGTCCGTGCTCACATCGATTGCCATCCCATCTGTTTTAAAAAAAGAAAAAAAAGTTTGCGCAGTCGACAGGATTCGAACCTGTGCGGGGACACTCCAATGGATTTCTAGTCCATCGCCTTAACCACTCGGCCACAACTGCGGGACGAGTAGGGGGCTCAGATGTAGTAACTCAAGAGCTGGGGATGTCATGGATGAAACGTTGCATGTAGCCCCTGAACGTCTATACAGGAGAGGGCGCTGCGGTCAATTGTGTATATAATCATGTTAAACTTTGCATGCATTGGCTCAACGCTTAGAGACGAGAGGGCGCTACGGTCAAATGCTGAACTGCGTATATAACCACGATCCATACCACATTTTTTTTCTGACATGGACCGTCGACTTAAGCGGTGGAGATGCGTTCGCACGGCTTCTAGCGGATCCAAGCTGATCCGCTAGAAGAACCACTGGCTCTGCATTTCACTGACCATAAAGCAGGAATAATGAAGTCGAAACGCAACCCGGAACTGAGCACTACCTATGAGCAATAAAAAAATAAGCACTATCTATGAACAATAAAATTAGTATCATCAGCATCACCAGAGCTTCACCCCAGTTAACATCATTCACCGCGTGGAGATGCGGTCATTTTTTGTTGATTTTCGTGTGACATTTGGTAAAAAATGCCTATTTGCACTTGTCCCCGACATTGCTCTTTTTTAACCTCGCGGTGCGACTCTACCCCGAGTCACTGCTTTGATCCCACCCTATTGAAAGTAACATGCCCTGATGCGTTATGGGACCCTGTCGCACTTCAGACACCGTCAGCACATCAAAGCCCTTCAGCCTGTCGGACCCCCTCAGCCGTTCCCTTTTATGCCCAAATGACTAAACCACACATAAAAAATGCAGTTAAAATTATTAGACATTTATTTTGGACAGTGTTGCATGCATGTTTTAAAGGGATACTACAACGAAATTTCGGCGCTCATTTTTTTGGTCTATATGTGTTCAAAAGAGCAGTATCACATGGAACGTACCAATATCTTGTTAAAAAAGTCTCGAAAAGGAATTTTAAAACGAATTAAACGATTAACAAAGAGCACCTGGTGGATGTCGCTAACGCTTCGTTTGTAATGCTCGTCTAGGAACCTTGACAGCTAGTGACGGAGGTTGTCTCGTCTCCGGCCACGACGACAGAAGTGGGGAAGGAGAAACTCCCCTCTACCCGAGAATCCCTTTTGTGTGTCGCAGAAGCCGCTATTGTCCCCCTAGAAGATTATAGAAGATTAACCCGTCACTCAAAATTCGTACAAAAGCTGCCGCTTCGGTGGCTGGAACGACTAGGCCATCCTCTCGACGTCAGCCCCGCCGTAGCTTTGCTCGTCTTGAGACGACTTACGTCACGATTGCGTTGGATGTCACGTGCTCTAAGCTGGGCCTTCTCTGAGCGCTTGCCAGAGTGGGCCGTTTATAACGAAAAATACAGCCACCAGGATCAAAATACAAACGTGCGATTGTCATTTACGGATATTGTGGATCATATTCAACCTATTTTTGAACACGACGGGAATATTTCAAATTTCGTTGAAGTATCCCTTTAAAGAGATACTGAAGCGAAACTTGAAATACACCTATTATGGTCAGAAATAGGTTCAATATGATCAATGATATTCATAAATCATAATCGCGCGTTTGTATTTTGAACGGATGGCTATATTTTTCACCCTGATGGGCCCGATTGGGCGCGCGCTCAAAAATCGGCCATCGGAGAGCGCGATGCGTCTTGGGATATTGGGCGCATTCGTGACGTCACTTGTGCCGGTCGGGAAAGGCTACGGCGTGAATGTTGTGGTTACGAGCGTTGCCACTTGGTGGCGCGTCGACGATTTACGACCTGTGACAACGTGGCCGTTTGAGATGTGCAAGGGCTGCACGCACGCTGCACCACGGGACCACGGCAAGTCGGCAACCACGGCAGCACTGACAAAACCAGCTCTGAGGCCGGATTCTCAAAGCGAATTCACGACGAAAAAAGTGCGTACGACAAATTTGAGAGAAAACCCGTGCTCTCGAAACGAAATTGTCGTAACCTTTGCGCAGGTTACGACAGAATCCTACGACAGCTCCGAAGCTGTCTTACGCACTTTTTACGATCAAATCAACAAGGCCGACAGCGTCGCTCAGTTACTTGGTATCGGCCACCAACGGACATTTATTTTTCTTCGTGCTCTTCTCGTGCGTCCCGACTTCAACCAGCAAGAAAAAAGGAAGGAGTACTTAAAATAGACCACGACGATCAAGAACGCAGGATTCACAAACACACGAGAAGAGCTACAACAGCCACGATTCTGCCGACCGAGCGAGCTCGGCAGAATATAGTAGGCCTAGCAGCAACATCGACTCGGAGCACCGTTGCTCCGGCGGTCCTTGGCCAAGACCGTCTGTCCATGACCGGCTGGCCTGCTGAATGGAATATGCCCGCGCGACCCTTGTGGACCCTTACCGGATGAGTAGTTTGATCCCTGAACTAAATTTCAGAGGTCAATATTTTCCCCTTGTCATCTCAATCTCCTTGTTTTCCGAGACAGCGGTGACGAACGCTGTCGTCGAAAAGGGACTCTCATTGATTCTATCTCCTTGTTTTGTGTGATATAGAGCTCAAATAAACGCTTGGCAACTCGGTATGTACACTCTGTTATTAGTATGCCATTTTTATTCTGACTCGACGCTACGTCAGTGTCGTGGGAGCTACGCGATGTCGGTCTAACCTTTCTTTGCCGAGTGTCATGTCAGTATCGAGTTGCAATCGTAAAAGATCGGTCCAGAAGCGCTTACCGAAACGCGGTCTAACAGAGCGAATCCAGCTCTTCGATCAAACGCGCGTGTCCGCTCCGAGTGTGAACAGGTATTTGGCATTTGCGTGGCTCTTGCTGACACCCTCGTAGTTCAAACATATCCTTTTTAACGTCGGCTTGCAGCTCGCGACTCGCAGCAACTAATACCGGCCGTGCCAGAAGCATGCTCGGGCCGTGTCGTGCAAAGAGCCGCAACGAGAACGAGCTCACTGTGGCCAACTACGCT